ACTTCAATTCTATTACGAACGTAGTTAATCAGTATAATCAAAGTAAAAATAAAGGTTACGTGTCATTCTTTTTCAGTTAATGACTTCAGTTACTTAATTCGTTTCAAGGCGGACATACATACGTATACAATAGCTTTTGAAGACAGTGTTTTTAAAAATCTTTTCTACCTTGTGTGCAGTCCGAAAAAATAGTATTCTCACTAAGTGGAGAAAAAAAGAATATTCTGGTGACTAGATAAAGTCCAATATGCTGACCCCTAGTGATAAGTTTAGTTCGAGGTGACATATATTATTGAGGACTATAGAAAACGAGATTTATTTGGTTCTATATACCCTCACAACACCGGAACGATAGTGTCATATCCCACTGTGTTTAACAATTTACATGCATGTGTGATCACAAGTGAATAGGAAGGACCCATTGATCACTGCAGGTTAGGACTGCTAGAACTAATAAAATCACCTGATTTACTTAATCCTGGAAATAGACATCCAACGTCATCGGTCGCTAAGCCCATCAAACAGACAGTCATAAAATTGATTTCAGTAGTTTATTTAAACCCAAATACAAAAACGTTTCGAGTCATATTGTAACAACAGAAGGCAAGACATGGAAGCCTGCTAATGCAGTACTGAACTGTGTGAAAACTATTCTGCCTCTAACATCAAACAGAATGTCCAAGATATATGTAGTATTCTGTTGTTAATGGCGTATCGAACTATGGGAATATGTCAAAATCATATTCCTTCGGCACACATTGTCTGTATCATACCATCATAATGTACTGAAATTCGTCGAGGTGTATGTGAACAGGCTTCATCCGGTGTTATATGTTAGGAAATTATTTGTTCCTACTTAACGATTGCATTTGCAGTCCAAATTTAGAAGCAAGATTCATGTTACTTAATTGTATTTTCACCTCCCTTTTATTCTTCCTCGATTTTCCTACCTCTCTGATCTTGACTTCTTAAGACTTTGACTTATATTGATACAGTTTTGACCCCTTACAATCTTTTTGATCGCTAGATGCTCAGCTATACCCAGACGCATTGATCTCACTCCCTTTCACAGGTTTGGTTGGATCTTGTATATGATTTTGAAGGACTCTTCAAATAGAGCAAAATGCCTTAGTTCATCAAATGTTCCGTTACCGAGCTATATAGACATACAAATATATGATCCGATCAAACTATAACAAAAGAAGACAAAGGCCAGGCAACAGATCGTTTATTAAGGAAATCAAAGCATATTTATATATTTTCATGTACATTATTATAGATTATTTAAGCAAACAAACACAGTCCTCTGATTGGTTGTTTCTCACTTAAAGTTAATCTTTCATCGCTTTGTGGCTGTTTCCTGAATATCACATCATCTATATGTTAACTGTGTCCGCCTACGCAAAGTCTGCTGTGGTCGGTTTTTGAATCAATCTTTGTTCATATTTTTTCTCACGACCAATATAGAGAACGTAAACATTGACGTAAATTACTGTCTATCAATTTGGTTAGTAGACAGCTCTCACCACAAAACCTCTTGAAAAGAGTAAAATCAAGCCATCTAAGCACTGGCGACTTTTGTAATCTGTTAGCTTTTGTTTAAATACGTATGATAAGTACACGTGTGATCAACATGCCTGGAATTTGTTGTGCGCACATATTACACGTTTTGAATAAATTACGTCTTCTTATTTGTTTTGCCAAAATTCATAGAGAAAACTAACTGCTTTAAAAGGAAAAGTTTGTCGACTGATAGTTGTAGTGTAAAAAACTTACTTATTAGGCTTTTCTATAGATATCTCATGCTGATTGATGTCGTAACACTCAGTGGCACTATGTTCGGATTAGCCTGTTAATTGGATTTTAATGCATAGAATCGAATTAGTGATTTGCAGATTACAGAGTTGTAGGAGAAGTTTCACCACCATTTCTTTGAGCAGTATATATGCTATTGAGAATTCAGATAGACTTACTTTCTTGATAACCATTTATGTCATCAAATACATAACATGCGGTGATATGAATAATCTCAGTTTCCAAAGGAAAATATGGTGAAGTTTAACCTTGAAGTGTGTGATCTACAGATTGTGACACAGATTGCATGTATATTACCACCTCGCCGAATTAACTAGCTAACTAGAAGTTGGATGGCTTAAACCGATTCGGCTCTGTATAATGAAGCAGTGTATTTACACTGATGATAAGTTGGATCCAAACCAGCGAAACGAGCATGATGTGTTCACATCCCTTCAAACTGCACAGTAAGAAGGTATTATCGGTTGATGCGAATGATAGTAGTAGAAGTAGTAGTATATGCCATCATAAAATTCATACACACGATCTTTTCTGAGGCTTTAATGTCTTCATCATTAATAACTTATGCTTATTCAAGCAATGGCAATTGTTAACGATCAAACATACTCCTATATCAACTGAAGATAGGACTCCAGATGAACATAGAGAAGACGGAGATGATGAGGATAACCAACCAACAGCAACAACAGACAGCACCAATCACCATCAACCATAAAAACTCCAAAGAGGTCACTTCTTTCACTTGTCTAGGAAGCATTGTCTCAACCACAGGGGGAACAGATGAAGACATCGAAGCCAGAATCACACATGCAAGGCAAGATACACCTTCATCAATCTCAAATCTGTTTACAAATCTTCTGCTTCACTCCGCCTCAGCATAAACAACAAGATTCGGATTCTCTTCAACACCAATGTTAAGTCAGTCACTTTTATGTGGCTCAGAAACTTGCACTGTGCAACACGAAAAGCATTTCCAACAGTCCACTGCAGACTCTTATTAAGAGCTGCCCACTTCGCTCGCTCCATCCATATTGAATGAAGATCAAATGGCCGACCAGAAAGAATTAGCAACAAGAAACTATGGGAACGAACTAACCAAGAACCTATCGTTCAACGGATGTGTAAGAGAAAATGTAGAGGAGCTCGTCGAATGACATCGCGCTCCAGGCCATCGCTCGAGTGGAACCCTAATGAGAAACGAAGAGTTCAGCGTCCGAGAGTCAAAGGAAGGAGACCGTGTAGGGGAAGATTAGATCCCATGTGCAACGGTGGAGCCAGTTAAATCGGACCTCAAACAACTGGATGTGTGTGTGTGCTGTTGAAGCCCTGTATCCCATTATATTTTAATACGATAAGTAATGAATCCAATTTCACCACGTTGATAGACACTACTCCGCCCATTGTCGCTTCATAACTATTCCATTTCAGTGTTTTGCATGACTATTGTCACTGTATATCTGTGATTATATTATCTCTCTCATTCGCTCGTTTGGAAATAGACATTTCAATATTATTGTGAGTCTTCATTGAAATTACCAGTTCGAGTCAGGCAAAATCTCCTAGAAAGTCCTTAAACAGTTATTAGTGTTAACCTTATTCAGCAGCCATAATACTTTCCCACTATTTCGAAGTGTGATAACCTGGAATGATGCATTCTTCGCAATATACGTCTATTTACCAAAGTACAGGCAAGGTCTCTTGCTGCTCACTCTACTACTGCCCTGGCCTTCAGTGGAGACTATAAATTCATAAATTTGTATTATTATTTTTTCTTATATTCAGAGTATTGTTATATTGATGCTATTGAACTGTAATCCGTTGATAATGTTATTGGCTAGATGTTATTTAAACAGTATTAATGTTGTTGATAACACTAATTCATTCGCTGTTATGTATATATAACTGTAGAACTTAATGATGAAGTTATCGAAAATAATATTCTTTTTTCAGTAACCATTCTTTTGAGAAGGTTTATATTGATTTTTTCCCCATTGTGATGTGTTTTACCAGTAAATTTCATAAAATTGTGCATGTAACTGACTTACATGCATCAGTGGCACAGCGGTAGAATGCTCGCCAGCCACGCATGTGGTTCTGAGTTCGATCCCTGGCCGAGACTAACTTAGAACACTAAGTATGAAAATCCCTCCTGAGTGATTTCATCATTATATTTATGCTTGTTTGAACTTTTCAGTTCACTTTGAAATTTTACCGGTTTTTCTCCTAAACTGTATATCACTGCCCTATCATTTGTTGACTTAATCTATATTATTTGTCTTTGTTCCTGTTTAATCTCTAATTTTAATGTCTCTCTTTGTGGTCGATAATGTATGCTGCTTTACTACGTGATTTTGTTTTAGTGAATCAAAGTCATTCTGGCCTTAGACTGTGTGCAAGAAGCGTTGGTGTACAATTCATGCTGACAGAGTTATGATCTCGTTTTGTTGGGAATATTCTGCTTAATTTCAAGGTGCTTCTTACGATAGAATTTTGTTTAACCAATTTTGTTGTATAGTACTTGCTTTGTACTGGAGAACTATCTAGCCTGTATAGCTGCCTAACGACACTGTTGAGGTGATTTTAAGTTTTTGATTTCATTATCGTTGAACAGAATCACAGACTTCACAGAGGGTGACCATCTTTTTGCCATCGTTGGAGAATTTTCTGACTGTGGGTGTCTCAAGGAAGTTTTAGTTAGCTATACAGTAGTAGTAGGACGCAAAGATCGGTTTCCTGCATTCAGACCATAACAAGTCTGTTTTGGTCGTTACGCCGAGGACTAGACGTATGACATCAGTTACTACCTTGTGTCCTATCAAAGTAAGCCTCAACTGTATTTGACGAGAATACTCCCAGTACTCCACCATATCTTATTGTAAGAAGAACATGAAAATGACATTCCATTTTTGGAGTCAGTCAGTTTCTCGTCATTCCTGATGATGAACCACTTATCACTGTGAGCAATTGCTGTTAAAATAAAGGATGAGTCAAACAGTATAACATGTAACCGTTATGTACTACAGTATACAATACTTCGGGTGTTATGACTCATATTGGCCTAGGAGCTCGACCTCTAACTATTTAAGTCACAAGATCGAACCTCGACTCACGCACAAACGGAGGTTTAATCAGCTAGGCTAGCATCATTAGCCATCGCACACAAACACAAACACAAAACATGGTAATGAGGAATAAAAACTGTATACATATAATGATAATAGTAGTAATATAAGTTATGATGACGTAATGACAATAGGGATAGATTAATCAAATAATAATAGTAATAATAATAGTAGTCATGTGCGCGTTTTCTACATTAAAAGACAAAAGTAAAATACGTAAAAGTTTTCAAAATAATAAAATATTATTCAAAATTATAAATATACATATACATATATATATGTAATGTATAGGTATATAAGATAAAATCAGGTGAGTGGTAGTAATAATTACGACTATACATGATGATGATGATGGCTGGAAGATGTTCATTTTAGAAAGAAACAATGAAACAAAGAAACAGATACATCTGTCAAACAACTGGAAAAGTTTCTTTCAATACACTGATCAATATCCATGTGCGTAATATTGTAGGTATTTTTTCTTTAAAAAAAAGGGCAGATGAAAGTTTACGAAAAATAGAATATAGTAAAACAACCTCAAAATGGATGTGAATGACAAATTAACTTGATTTATAAGTTATGTATACATTTGTCAAAATAATCCCACATAAGACGATATTATTGTGCTACAGAGATGAAAGAGTAAAGAGAAAGAGGCAGCAGCAGTATGAATGAATGAACATAGTCCACAGTATTCAATCTAATTATGTTAATATATGAAAAGATAATGGGGGCTGGGCGAGGGGGTGAAAAGAAGTATTTATTATTAAATGTTTTAAACCGGGTTCAAATTTTATGATTGCCAATATGAATAGGTGATTTCGCCTATTATGATGATAATTATTAATTATTGTTATTCTTTATATCATCAGTCGTCTGTTGCTCTTTCAGCTATTGTTGTTGTTGTTGTTGTTGTTGCTGCTGCTACCACTATTACTATTACCGATTGTTTTTATTGCTTTTCTTCTTTTTCATTGTCCAGCTAAATTTGAAGAACTCATAGGTACATTATCAGTATCCACATCATCATCGAACAACCAGGCAGGGTAGTCATCTTGATCTTCGTTGAATGTAGCCTCTGTTGATAGTGATGGTCCATCATCACTTAAATCAACTTCAGCCTTGATAAAAAGAACAAATAAGAGGAAGTAATAAAGTAGTGAGAGACTCAATCGAATAGACAATCTGAATTAATCACATATAACATTAATTTTGAAATACTTCTTTCTGGAGATTTCATTGACTCCAGATTTTGATAACGGATTGATATTAGTTAAAGAGCCAGAAATAAAAGCCAGCAGGGAATAATAGACAGCTGTTTCATCCCAGTAAATGGAACGCTTTAGCTAATTTGATGTCCGCTGGTGATTGGCTACAAGATGAAATTGTCTGGAGTTCTGGTGAGAAGTGGTAATTGACCAGCGGAGTCGATCAGGTCAGATGTGAGGACAAACACTTGCTGATAACACTGACTAGTTGTGGCGATGAAAATCGCGAAATTGAAGAAGTTAGTATTCATGGACTGGAAATTTGATTTCGTCCTACTGGCTGAATATTTAATGAACTCGCCTCAAAACCTGAAGGTTTTGCATCTAACCTTTGTTGGAGTCGCGGGTGCGTAAAGCTAAAGAGCCTTAAACTAGGACGAAACAGCTGTTGAGTACTCCCTGGTTTTCAGTGGTTCTTCAGGTATGATACTAATCTGTGATACAACTTCACACATAACCTTAAGGGAGAAAATAAGGACAACGACTACGTCCACGCAAGGTACAAGTCTGTGCCACCGGTTAAATATGAATACCCAGTTACTCTTTCCTATAATAACTTCCTGAACGAACTGTATGTAAGCAAAATATTTGCTGAGAATTCCAAACAGTGCTTGGAATAAATAGAATATTATTATTACTGCCAATCAATACTGGTGTTCTCAATTTTTAAAATACATAACAAGAAAAGTAGACAGACTAACAGTTTTGGAGGGGAGAAACAATGTTCAAGAGTTCTACAGGGAATAATATAAGTAATTCTGATAGGATTTTATCACAATTTCATTTAAAATTTAATTCACCGGATATAAATGTATGCAAATCGATTGAAGTCACCAGGAAACATGTCGCAAATGCCGATCCACCACTTTCCTCGACCAACAATCTTAGCTAACGTAGGATTGGTTTGCAGGAGTTAGTGACGGTCAAACTAAACCTGGAATCAGTCCATGAAGTCTTTAACCGTTGGTTTGAGTTAGTCACATATGGAGATTTAGACTCCTTGGTTGGGGTATTAAGGATGCTAAGAACCAACGGTTGAAGACTATTGGTGATATGGCTCAAAATCATCCACTATAGCGCAGTTACTGTCACTCTTTGTTATCTCATAGTCCAATTAAACTCTCCTATTTCCACACGTTACTACTCTTTCACTCTCCCGTACATTTCTCCCAACTATAGTTTTTTCGGGTCTCTTATTTCTCTCTTTTCTCTACTTTTGTGTGGTATAACAATGTATGTGGTAAGCAAATGAAGCAGGAAAGATGTGCAAGTGCCTTGATATGATTATGAGCGATAATTTGTGCTCGAAAAGTCATCAGTAAATATTACTGTACAACACTGTGTGATTTTATCAAAATAAAATTTTATTCATAATGGAGTTATACTCTATCACAGTGCCCAAGTTTTATCCTTATATCGATTGAATTGGTGCACTTCTGTGTCAAGTTCTATTTTGAAACTCAGTGATTCAATCAAGTTTAATTCTTGTCAGGTGTTACGTGTGACTAGAATAACTCAGTGGTAAAGTCACTGACTTTGAAGAGGGATGTGTGTGTGTGTTCGAATTGCCAAAAAAAGACACAAGGTTGAAATTTCTTTTTACTAATAAAGATAAACTTTGAGTGATGCAAGTGTGCTTGACTTAAAGTTTAACACGAATATAGAATATACGGACTTTCAAAAAGTAGAACTTTGGACAGAAAAGCATCAATTCAAACTGTCACACTTTGAAAAAGCATATACAAAAGTAGAGTAATTTCGTCAAACATTTTTGGTCCTTAACACCTCGGGGATCCCAACCAGATAGACTATAATTCCTCAAGCGGTTGAGATCAACGGTCGATGACCACATTGTTTAATGGCATGTGTTAGTGTGACCACCTAGGCCTAATTAAACCTAACAATTATCATCTGGGAAGGCAATGGCTCCGTAGGTGTAAAACGTGTCCTGGCTACCACAATCGATAAAGCATTACAAACTCGATGATCGAATCCCCCACTAATTGTCAAAAAAGTTCGATCCTTTTCGCATCTCGTATATCCAACGATCATGTTCCACACTCTTTAAAGTAGGACAAAGAGAATACTTGCACAGCACATATGTTCTTTACTAGGTAACCACACTAAAGTCGGTAAATAAGCCTTTTGCATCGACGCTGAAATTTGTGTGCAACAAGTGGGTTATACAACTGATTTTGGTAGTCACTTGACAGAAGTGATCGGCACACTTCAATTAGCAAGACACAAAGATAAACATAACAACCACATTCAATGCGACAAGTTGACCAGTTCAAATGAAATAGGTACGGGTTTATGGATAATTATTTGTCAGGTTGATAGTGAATTGTTGACTGACTTCTGCTTGAGGTGCCAGAAATGTAGGCAGCATTAGTGTTGCGTAACTGCACAGCTCAGGGGAACACTACCTATGGCAGGTGAAACACACTACCTGTTTGAAGTGGTTTCATACCGCCACTGCAAGATTAGTCGTGATGTACGATTTTAAGAGGCAACCTTTTTCTAACTCCTCCCCAATCCTCAGAATAGAGAGGTAGAATAGCTGTTTTGTTGGTTACTTGAGGGAAACACCCTACTGCTATTACACTCCTATTCTCCAAGAGTGCAACTTCACCAAAAGACCCCCAAACATAGTGCAAACAACCTACACTATGATGGTAACTACTTTTAGTCTAGCCAATGTCCAAACAACCTTTCCGGCATGATAGGACCTGAAGAAACATTAGTTTCAACCAGTGTGACTTGTTGGGTTACTGTAATATGCAAGCCCGATCACCAAGTCAAGGTAGCAGCTATTGTTCGGGAGAGACCTACACAGACTAATAAGTTCAAAACATAGTATAGATATATTTAGTTGCCATTTACAACCAAAATATTATTAGCATATTGCTTAATAGTCTCAGTGTATTTCCAAAGCTGATTAAATACCACAAATTTTGTACACCATGTACACCAGGAGATGCACCCCACAAAATCTCATGGTTTGTGCTAGGGCTGGGAGACTGCCCAGACACCCAGACCTAAGCAAGTGGTTGTCTTCAGGGGTCACTCCCCCCAAGCCTTTGACTTGAAGTCTGATCCACAAGGCAATGGAGCAGAGTTAGAAGTTATGAAGCAAAACGGGTTCTGATTCTGTAGCCCGTGTACACAAAAGGTCTGTAATCAGGGTTATTCAGCTCCCCTAGATAGAGTGCATCATGAGTGCCGGTTTGGTTACAAGCACCAAACTTTCATATCCGCCACTTCATTTTTGTGATGAACACCCCTTGTGGCGCGTGATGGCAGTGAATAGGACTTAACTGGTTGGCAGAGGATATGAACAGTATGCCGTTATAAGTACACTGACCACTAGACAAACTCTTAATTTTGAATAAAAGTAAAACAAACTATATATACTGAATGATTAAGATGAATAGTTGTATACCACTCATATTGACCAGTAGCGCAGATCACATATTGTCATCTGAATAACTTGGTTTCCAACTGTGAAATTTCACCGCTCGAACTGGATAGATTGCAAATTACTGACCAATTTGTAAATTGTGAATTTAAAATAAAACAAATTTCATAAAAGAACTTACTTCTGTTATACTTGATATAGTAGTACATGTTGATGTAATCAATACCATTGAATTTGGTGTACACAAATGTGAATTCGCATTATTATTATTAAAATTATTATTATTATTATTGTGTCCAATAGATCTATGTCTAGGCAGCGAATGCTTATCTTCATTAGGTAGATGTAAAGAATTTGATGTTTGTTGAACTATTCGACTTTCTCTTCTTGGCATCATTGATTCAATATTACTTCCACAGATTGAATACGGTGAATATGGAAGAGGTGATGTAGCATCAGCAGTAGTAGAAACAGGGGTATAATCTATTGTTAAGTTCACTGGTTGTTGCAGGTGCTGTTGATTTCTCAATCGACTACGTACACGTCGTACATGGTATTCTTTATCACTTAAACTATCAATCATATGCGCTTGTAATTCATGAGCTAAATTTTCAATACTCTATATTGATTCATTTGAAATGAGGCATATTGAAACAGAGAAAAAAGACAAAGAAAAAAAATTGTTCAATAAACTTATGACAATATGATGCTGTCAATGTCCAGTGTCTGATCAATGCTTTTTTAAACAGTGAAATTCAACTCGCTTGATTAAGATGTGTTCACAACAAGCCCCATGTAATTGCACTGTCAAGGACACCGATCATGGAATCAATAAATTAAAACTCTTTAAGATAATTAAAGTTCAAGATAGTTCCAGGTTGTTACACATCCCTGAAGTGACTGCCATTAAACGATCAAAGAAGTGAATTTAAGCGTTCACAAGGAAATCGTTGTCAATCTTCACTTACCTTGGTGAATATACTTTATAGGCTATTTAATTTTGTTATTTTTATTCTTTTAATTATCCTTTGTTTGGACCAATCTAATTTTGTATCCTAATTTCGCCTTTATCTATATTCTTGACAGAACTCTAACTAAAGTATTTTAATATTTTTTATATTGATATTGCTTGTGTTGTTCATGATTGTATGCAGCTGACAAGAGAAGCAACGATGTATGTATTGATATCATCCTATCCCGCTCAATGTGCTATTTTTGCTTGTATGAGGAATTTCTTGGTTTTCTTGGAGAAAATAATAAGTCATTCTGAAATTTTGACTAGTCTTTCAGTGATACAATGACTGGGTGACTAATGTGATACCAATAGTAATAAATAATTAAGACCCTTGCTAATTAGGTTCTTTAACTAGATAAATCATATGATAACCAAAGGCCTCGTGATTTAGCTATCACTGGAGACAAACATTAGATTGAGTAATTTAACAGAGTAAAGTGGCCTATTCAAACTAAGGAATGAATAATTTACAGAAGCTGAACTTTATTCTTACGGTTGGGCGGAAAGAAAACTGTACCAACATGTTACTAATAAAGATCTCTTTTGCTTTTTCGTTACCTGACACCCTTCGATTAGAGTCTGAATTTGGGTTGTGTATGAAGGTACTCACTGAATAGAGAGTTTTACTTCTTTCTGGGTCAAATAAAAGAATGAAATTGATTGCTTTCAGTGATACTGTCGAGTTTCGTGCTATACTAAATATCACAAGTGACTTCTGTCTTGAGTCAGTGAAACACACGATTTTTCTAAAGTTATTCAGTTGGGATCAAATTCATTTGTTGCATTATTTATTTGAAGAAAATTTATTGAAATTCAAGAACATTGACTAGCTGTCAAAAGACAAAATGTGTTTTCTCTCATATCTATGCAGACAACTATGGACGCGATTTTGACTGCGAAAGTATAGAAATTTTAAACACTGACAACATGCGCCGGTGACATAGCAGTAGAGTGCTCGCCGACCATGCAGGTCCGGGGTTCGATCCCTGGCCGATACGCTCCTTTACAACGCCAAGCCAGTAGTAAGACTGGTAAAGAGAGAAGGTTGGGCATGAGGCTAGCAACCTCATGCCGTAAAAATAATCACCACTGCTACAGAAACTTCAAGCCTTTAACTTGGAGCCCTATGTTCCACTGGGAACGTAAAGGAATACAATTTTAAAAAACACTGACAATACCAAAAAATCTTCGGGAATCACTAGAATCCTAGTGTTCAGACGAATCAATAATTAACAGACTCATTATCATAGATAAAATTCACTAATTAATAAATAATAAACCATAACAAAAATGTTCGAATACAAAGTTAGTAGAAAACACTCAGCACATGTGCGAATTAAAAACCACCGACGACAAAAGTTAACAGGAGATACAATTTTATTACTCACATAAAGAATTCAAATAATTTCACTTCATACTGAAGCTTGTGCTGGAGATGTTGTCTGGGAGGAGGACAACAAAATCTTCGTACTTAATTCATCATCACATTAAGAAAATGGAAGTATGATAATTAAAATAAAGACAATCTATGATTGTATCTAGACCACTGAAGTCAAACCTAATCCATATCAAACAACATTCTCTGTTCATAGGCCCAAGAAGGCTCATGTGGACTTCAGCCTACATTACTTGCACTTCTAAAAAGCCTAAGGCCATCACAAATAACAGTCAATGGCTGACTTTAGAGTTTGACTGGAAGATTTTAGCATTCTTTCAAAACACACTTCTAAATTGATTAACACAGAATAATGAATGAGTCAGGAAGTCAGTAGACGTGCAAGTAAGCTACAGAAACGCAAAAACAAACAAAAATTAAAACTAACCATGTATGTACGTGTTCCAGTAGATGAAATAGGTGATGAAGAAGCTGAGAAAGATGTTGATCGATAATTTGTAGTCATATCTAATTGATGATGACTATTACCGCTGCAACAACTATTTCTTCTAGGTTGTGACGAAGAATAAATTCTTGAATGATGACGATATGTGTGATGATTAGTCATAGTGGAATTCTTCAAGTAGGATTGACGTGAAATAAGCTGACGTCGACCAGGATATTTTCTTAACTGGATTTTCTCATTGCCTCGTTCTTCATTTTCATCATCATTAAATAATCGATTGTTAGGTGTAAAGGATAGTGGTGACGGTGATACTGATGAAGATGATGGTATGTAAAGATTTTGATTCACATCGACACTTTCATGACAATTATTGCTGGTATTGTCATTGTTGTTAGTACTACAGGCACTTTTATTACAGATCGCTCTACGAGGTATACTTGGAATCGATTTGGAATACTTTGGAGAAAACACAGAATCATGTTGAGCTTCAGTGATTTTTGGCTTCCTAACCGTTTGGTTAGGATTTGGATGTTGGGGTAAACAACATTTACTCGGTGACCATAATGGACTGACATGTTCTAAAAAGGGGAAATTTTCACTGGTAATTATTTCAATATCATTTTTGTCCTCTTCATCATTTAAATTTCCATCTTGTACAGTCCGCTGTTGTGTGTTACTACAGCTTTTTTGAGGAAATGACGAAGAAAAAGAATAAATTACACCGAGATAATTAAAATTTTAAGAATAAAAATACATTCTAAAGTGGAATGAAGTTCTCAAGGAATATGATAAGACAAAGGGAAACCATTAGGTAACACTATGACAGTCATTGTTACGATAGGTAACACCAGACAATTATTTAGGCTTATTAGGGAAACAGGTTGTAAAGACAAATTATAAACGAGACAATCACTAAGAAAAGCGGCGCCCTAATTAGCGCTGAGGAAATGAAGCTGGAGTGTCGAAGAGAACATTTTGAGGAGACACCTAACTGGCCTACAGCCACATTCAACTTGTCCAGCACCCAAAATCCACCGAAAAGTTATGTAGACATCGGTCCTGAAACTGTAAATGAGATTACAAACGCTATGTCTAATCTGAAACGAGGCAAAGCAGGCACGTAGGGAGGCGTAAACTGCCTTATCTGAGTCTTCAGCACGCTAAGAGCCAAGGGCTGGAGACTATTGGTGATATAGCTTAAAGTCGACCTCAACAGTATAGATGTAATCTTCCAAATCTCTCAAGCTGTCATGTTTTTGCATGTTACTATTTTATCTCCTGTACACTTTTGTTCATAGTAGATATTTTGAATTTTTCTACTGTTTTCTCTACCTTTGTGTACTACATAGAGTTTAGCAACTTAAACTGGTGCACTTTTGTGCAAAATTCCACGATGAGACTAAATCAGTCGGTCAGTCTGCATTAGCTTTGCAATTAGACGCATACACCGTATGGATGCACCTGATAATACATAGCAGTTGCCACAACCTCGGTAGGTATAGCGGTTTTCAGACACCGAAACCACTAGTTAGTTATCAACCACATAGCCTAATGAAGCAATAGCTTCAAAGAAAGGGAGAGACAGACAGGCTGTCTCAGAGTAATAAACCATTCCAGATTGACACTCCCAAAGAAGGCACGAAAAGAAGAAAACAATAATACAGAATGATACCATAATGAGCAGATATGAGTATATGAAAGCATAAGTTAACTGACCGAAAATGCCCACAGAGATATGAAGAAAACAAAAAATAACTCAACAAAATGTTCCTTATCGACGGATGTCTCTTCAAAGACTCTACAGACGCACTAAGATTTACTAAAACACAATGCGGTGTATTATTGAGTAGTAGGTGACTAAAGGGGATGGTTCTAAAGAATTTTCGGTGCCATACTTTAAATTTACAGAAGTTACTAGAGTGAAACCCAGCATTACTGTGTAGTTTTTCAGCTTGCAAGATCCTCTATGTGGACACCAGGCAGAAAATAAGAGGAAACAAAGAAGCAAGATAAAATTACACAACTAAAAGCCGTGAGATTGTGAAGTGAAAAGATAAAGCATAAATGCACCTGTCCAATTGTGGTCGATTCTGAGAGGTAAAGCCTACAGGCCACAACTGAATATTCTATCGGGACAGTTTCCAACTTCAGCTTACAGAGTGATACGGAGCCGAATCATGAGGGTAATATAATTCTTCTTGTAATTTCAGACATAGCTTGTTGATAAATATTAAAAAGCAAGTGTTAGTTCAGAGTTTTCTGCAAATTAACTTCTGATACGTAAAACACTCACTATGATCGACGCGTGAAACCCAGCTAGTGGCACTTTTACAAACATTTTCACTATAAGTGCCCAACTGACTGATTTTATACATAGAACTTTACAAAAAAATGCATCAATTCAAGTTGAAGAACTCCATGTAGCACACACACGGTAGAGAAAAGAGAGGAAGAGGAGCAGAAAGGAGCAGAAATGTACTAGAGAAAGGAAGAATACTAAAATGAAAAAAAAGAGGGATTAATGGATATAGGCGATCACAAAGTGTGAATGTATCTGTGCCACTGAGTACGATTTTGAGCCATGTCATCAACAGTCACAAGCCATTGGTTCTTAGCACCCCTTGGAGTTCAACTAAGAAGTCGACACCTCCCTACGTAATTCAAACCAACTGTCAAAGACTTCATAGGCTGATTCTAGGCTATGGTTTGACCACACCTAACTCTTTACCTACCCAACCCTATCTCAATTAACACTGCTTGCCGAAAAAGACGGTGGTTCGGCATGAACAACATATGCACCTTAACAAACTCATCCATTGACCTCCCTACCTAACTTAGCACTCTACATCTAACCCGCAGTGCTGCTGAACAAATTATACCGCTTAACACGAGAGATAGAATGATAAGTACCTAACACTTGAAGCAGTCAAATAAAAAGTGTACAAAAAGCCTGCAGTCAAGTGACAGTGAGTTAATATACATTTAATTCGAAAACAACCGAAAACATATCTAATTTCTAGCCAACAAAATCAGAATGATTCCTGTAAAGTAACGATCTTATATTGTCTTGTGAAATAGTCTTAAAACAATGACTACATTAACACCGATATGATATCTACATCCATCAAGGAATAATGCAGTTATGCTAACGTTTTAATGATTGATCTGTAGATGGTAACCAATGTCATGTGTCTAGTCCATGGGCAGGTGCAGACTGATTTTTATCAGTCAACTTAGCAATGTCGTCACTATGGTCGCCATCGTGATGCACACTGAATTGATGTTAGATGGTTGGAGGCGATCGGCAGGAAGCCCTGCACACCTGGGCTTCGCGCCTTCATCAGCAAGACGTATCCTCAATATCAAAGGAACTCTGATACTGACGGATGGTATTCAGCCTGCGCTAATCCAAGGATTAGACGAAAGACATTGGATATTACCTGGTGAATAACTAAAGTATGCATTTCAAGTCCTACAGGAGGTCAAACGTGAGCTCAGTGGCAATTTCTCTGACTGTAGCACTGGCTGGCATGGATTCGAATCTCAGAGGGAAAATTAGTTCTTCCAAGGTTGCAAATACACCTCACTGACTGGTAAGTGCTAACAAGCACTCAGGGCTTCCTACTGATTGCTTTCAGTCATCTAACATACTTAATATTTGTAAATATATGAAACAAAGATATATATAAAATTTAATGTTCAACTATTATAAAAGTTATGAATACCTTTCATTGAGAAAATTATTGACTTTTGAAGCTTGACTATCATGATCAGATGATGATGAAGTGGGTATATTTTGAATCACTGTTTTTTGACTGAATCCACTTATTTCGGATTGACTTGCAGGATACTTGTTATTATTACTACTAGTAATATGATAACTACATAAATCTTCCCAGGTGAAGTGAACGTTTCTCAGATCACACATTGATGAAGATGATAGCTGAGGTGATGATACATAATCAGATGATGATTTGTTGTAATAGTTAAATATATCAGTATGTGGAGTAATGGATGATCTAATTGATATACATGAGGAAGCTTTATTAAGATGATGAAAAACTTCACGTTTTAATCCTGAATAGTGTTCATTTTCAGTGTTGTAGGCAAATTGTGATTTCTTTAGATTGTAGAATAATAATGAATCTTGACTAAATGAATATTGTAATGGATAGTTGAAATTATAATGATTTAATTTCACGTTGTTAATATTACAGTTATCATCCTGATTATGCACTGGTTGTTGTAATTTTGATAATTTTATACCATCACGTGTTGACATTTTAGAATTTGGATTCAATAAATCATTAGTATCATCAAATTTCCGTTTATTCATCTATTCAGAATGACAAAACAAAGGTTTCAACAGTTTTAGATTATCAATTGAACTGATAGTTAATCATACATCAAGTTACCTATCATATTATACAAAAAATGATAATAATTCAACAAATATAAGCATCATTCGATGTAAGCCTTGATTCAGGGGTGGGGCGAGGCAGGGGTAATGAACCTTTCTAGATGTTTCTCTATCAAGAAGAGTGGATAACAAGCTGGTTAAAAAAGGAACTTGTATAAGAGAAGTATTTGGACTCAGTAGTTATACACATTATCTTAATTTCGCTAGCTTTTCAGTATAGGCAAAATCTGATGTAAACATTTTCAGCCGTAGAAAAAGCATGTATATATATATATATATATATATATATATGAACATCATACTACTGAAGAACTCTGCCCATAACAAGCTGGATTCAGGAAAGGCAAAGTATGTGCTGGTCACCTTTACGCATCATCATCATTGAACAGAGCATAAAATGGCAGTTAAACCTCCCTCAGTTTCATCGACTTTGAAAATGACTTCGACAGCGTTGAACACGAAGTAATTTGGCAGCTGCTGCAAAACTATGCAGTGCAGTACCCCAAATATGGACCAACCTCATTCAACAGATATATGACAATGACAAGTGTCGAGTGATTTACAACGGGAAACTCGGTGAAGCCTTTCAAGTTAATACAGAAAAAAGACAAGACTACCGAATTATGCGCAAGACTGTGGAGAGTGAGAAGACAGCAATATGCTAGACTGATAAGAAGGCTCTAATATATCTGGATTTTGCAGATGATTTTTGTCCAATGTCACACAAACTCAAAGAACTACACTGAAAAAAAAAACAAATTGACAGAAGAAGCTGCAAAGACAGGACTTCAAGTGAACATAGAGAAGACGGAGATGATGAGGATAACCAACCAACAGCAACAACAGACAGCACCAATCACCATCAACCATAAAAACTCCAAAGAGGTCACTTCTTTCACTTGTCTAGGAAGCATTGTCTCAACCACAGGGGGAACAGATGAAGACATCGAAGCCAGAATCACACATGCAAGGCAAGATACACCTTCATCAATCTCAAATCTGTTTACAAATCTTCTGCTTCACTCCGCCTCAGCATAAACAACAAGATTCGGATTCTCTTCAACACCAATGTTAAGTCAGTCACTTTTATGTGGCTCAGAAACTTGCACTGTGCAACACGAAAAGCATTTCCAACAGTCCACTGCAGACTCTTATTAAGAGCTGCCCACTTCGCTCGCTCCATCCATATTGAATGAAGATCAAATGGCCGACCAGAAAGAATTAGCAACAAGAAACTATGGGAACGAACTAACCAAGAACCTATCGTTCAACGGATGTGTAAGAGAAAATGTAGAGGAGCTCGTCGAATGACATCGCGCTCCAGGCCATCGCTCGAGTGGAATCCGAATGGGAAACGAGGAGTGGGTGGTCCTAGGGTGATGTGGAGGAGATTGTATGAGGAGGAGATGACAGGTTATAGGCGATTGTGAAGCCAGCTCAAAAGGACTGCAGAGCATTGGATTCAATGGAGATATGCTACTGAAGCCCTATGTTCTACTAAAAAACTCAAGGTAACAGAAATAATAACCAAACAGTCCAACTACCAAAGCAGTAATCACTCACCTTAACTGTATAAACTGGTGAATAATTCGATGAAAGGGTAGATGGTGATGGCGATACAACAGATAAATGTTTATATTTTTTCTGATTTTTTGATTGTGCATCATCATTAACAGGTAAGAAATTAATTAATGGATTTAAAATGACACTAGAATGAATCTTATTATTACTTATTGAAAGTGAGGTATTAGTATTTTTATTAACACAAGTGGCAGTGGTTGTCATCATTGCATCAGTAGTAGAAGTATTTGTTGTTGTTGTTGTAGCAGTTTTAATTCGATAATTTACTGACATTACCGGTGACACTGACATTGATAATGATGATGAAGTGACTGTATGAATACGGTTAGCCGTCAAATTGGTTTGCCGATAACGTTTATTATATCTAATGGATTTGTAATCACCATAATCTCGTTCATTAATCAAGCATGCATGAGTTGTATTCGAAGTACTATTAGTAATTGTTGCTGATGACGACGATGATAACGTTGCTGGTGGAGGTATTTGTGATGCATATTGATGACATTTATACATATTGGGACTTTTCATTATGGTCTCATAGGCAGGTGGAGGAGGAACAAGGAAGTGTATACTATTAGTACTTGCGAACTGTTTTCTTGTACTGTAAATCCTTAGAAAATAAAAACACAAGAAAACAAAATTCGTAGATGAATATTATTTAGCAAAGATCATGTATATATAGTAAGTAAAACAAATTCGAAAGGCCTACACACGCAACAGAAACGGGAAGTTTTGACAGGAGACTTAAGCCTTTGGAAAAATCGATGCGGAATCATGCTCCTATCCACATCAGGCAAAATATTAAGTTGTGTCATCCTGGAGAGACTAGAAAATGCTCTAGATACAAAACTCCACCAGGAACACGATGAATTCAGGAGAAACAAATCATATGCGGAACAAATTGCAGCATTGTCATCATGGAGCAGGACATAAAATGACACTCAAGTCCCTACCTCAACTTCAACGACTTTGAAAAGGCCTTAGACAGCACTAATCACAAAGTAATTTAGAAATTGTTTCAACACTATGGAGTCCCTAGAACCTTTATCAAAAGATATATGATGATGCCTTGTGCCGAGTGATTTAATACAGACAATCAGATAAGCCTTTAAAGTGACGACAAGAGGCTGCCTACCAACAGCGATTACCTTCGTTACTGTGGTGCACCAGATCATGCGGCAGACCATGTAGACCAAATAAAACACACTTGGAGATGATTCCTGTCTAGTGTTTCACAAACACGAAGATCTACAGAACTAGACCAGCAAGTTTGCAGAAGAAGTATTGAAGACATGACTTCAAGTGAACAAAAAGACGACAAAATGATAAAGATACTTAGTCAACAACAACAAGCAGTAATCACTATCAACAGGTGAAACCTAAAGGAAGTAACCTCTTTGATCTACCCAATCAGCATTGCATCAATAATAGGCGGCACAGATGAAAATATCAGTCTAAATCGGAAAAGCAAGACGGCCCTTTATTACCCTGAAATCAGTCTGGAAATCTACCACACCAGCATTAAGTCAGTCAGAAATTTATAATGCCTGTCACCAAAAGCAATTTCAACAAGCTACAGACTCTCATCAACAGCTGCTTCCGCTCAATACTCAGGATCATTTGGCTAAGTAGTAGGGATAAGCAGCAAGCATCTATTACCCAGCAAATGCGCCCAAAGATATGGGGGTGGACTGGACATAAGCTGAGGTGATCGTTGAGTGATATCACGCGCCACGCCCTAGAGTATAACCCGAATGGGAACGGTGAGTCAGACATGGGTCCGATGGTGACAAGGAGGATATATATCCAGCAACCTGATCATATATCGACTAGCATTTCTCGCCAAGGATGGAGATGATACGACAAGCATAGAGCATGCAGGTTCACAAAAACTCATAGATTGAACTTCCCTCCTTACCTAAACCTTTACGCCTAATTTCATTATTTATGACTACATTATGCCATATAATACGAGGAACTGAACGCAGACACCTTTGTTTATAAACTGCTTCTACATCTTACAGAGTCAATAGAGGGTAGGGTGAACTGCCGCACAATAGATGTCCTTTGGTAGATAGCCGAATATCAGATCTTTGTGAAAGGTGACACAGTTTGTCGAATTTCCCAATGAGCATTTTCTATTCATGTTGAGATTTCATCAGCAGTCCACTCATTAGTTAGAGCTGTTGCGACTTCCTAAACCATTATATACCCTTTCTTTAATAACCTGGATCTCTCTCACCAAACATATGAGTGAGTAGAATTTTATGCCAAACATACAACAATTTTCTTCTAGGTATTCAGGAGACCTTCCATTTTGCCAGCAACTTAACTTAGACAAGCACTATATCATCTGCACACTCTAGATCGATGAGACTATTCAGTAGTAGGCAGTCAATCCCTGAGATGTTGAAATCGCCCACGGTACGTGCATTATTACTTCTATAATGTGACATTGAGCACGTCCACAGGACGCCACTCGCTGTCGTCACTTCAAGCGACAACTCTTCGTTATCCGTTTTACGGTTTCATGAATTCGAGTTTAGTGCCTGGATTAGTATTACACATATTTCTCATCGGCACACCATATACAGCTAGACATCGCCACAGTATCTTCCGATCGATGGAGATTAGTTATTATTACTTTTTGTGTGTAAATGGTACCTACTGCTATTCACGTTACGTAATAATACATACAAAGACCACGTTTTAGCCCATTAGATATATCAGCTACACATTAAACATTGCGTTTTCATTCCTTTAAATTTCGTTTGAAACATAGAACTTTAACCTTTGGTGTTGTTTTTGCAGGTTAGGACTGCTAGCTTCACATGCCCAGAATTCTCTCTTTTCCAGGCTTACTATTGGATAGTAAACTAGGCAAGGTTTAGTGGTGTGTGGACCGGGAATCGAACCCGGACTACGTGCTTAGTTGGCGAGAATTCTACCACTTGAAGCACTCATATGTCGAAACTTAGTAAGTAAACAGACAGACAGAAGATCAACAGTAACGAAAACGATCAAAAAACAATATACTCACAATGAACTAGATAACTGCAAACCCTTCAAAGCATCATCAACAATGAATGGTGAGAATGTTGTTGTTGTTGTCGTCGTTCCATCTAGGTCCAATTTCTTCTTCGTTTTCAAAAATTCATATTCTAACATAGAAAGTGTAAATGCTCTACGCTGATTATAATACAAAGTGGTGTTCAAGTGATCCAAGTTGGAATATACATTACCACAGAATGGACAGACAGATGTATTATTACTGAAAAGAACATTGAAAGCGTCATTGTTGTATAATGCACGCTGATAATTCTTTTTCTTATTCTTTTTAATTAGTTGTTCAATGTTAAATGATTTATTAGGATAATTTTTAATCATATTACTTTGGTATATATTTGATAAAGTGTAGGGATTTCTTAACAATTCCATACTACCGACAATACTTCTATTGCTTAGATTTCTTGCCATATTCGTAGTATCCCTACTATTATTAGTAATATTAGGAGTGAGTAAAAATCCGTTTGTATTGTCGTTAACTGGTAAGGATAAAGATTGTGCTGTAGGTTTAACACATTTTAAAGTACTACTATTTCGATAACGGGAGTAAAACTCGTTGAATTTACGTCCTAGTGAAAAGGTGGACAGAGTGGAGAACGGAAATTGTTTACGATTAACATTAGCATCATTATTATTATTATTATCAAGATCAGCAAATTTCAATATCCCGCCTCTTTCATTAACAATTCCACCTCCATCTTTTTGCACATCAAAATGACTTCGTTGGACTTCTTGGTGTTTTTGTTGCTGCTCTTGTTGACTAATATTCAATTCCCGAATTAAAGTTTCATAATAAAGACGTTCTCTAAAATAAAAAATAAAAAAATGAAGGAAAAAGAAATTCAAGTGAAATTGCAACATAGTTTACCATTATACAGTCTCATTAGGCATCGGGATGTCCTGTGCAACAGTGGTCTTCTGGTTTACTTTGCAACAGAAGATGATTTTCAACGGTTGGTTTGCAGGGATTTGATCTGTTTCAAGTTCGATTACAGACTGATATCAGTTAGGGGACCAGTGGAAACAAGGGAGTACTGGACAGTTGTTTTGCCTTAACCCAGGACTCGTCGACAGTGCGGAGCCATTGGGGTTTGAACTCAAGACTTCCACGTTATAAGGAAAGCTTGTAGACCGTTCAGCAACTGGAACTTGATTCAATGACCCAATTCGTGATTTTAGCACGACTAACAGACAATGTCATTGGTGAGTATTTGTCCTAGGTCTTGATTGGATGGTTCTTTTAGCTACATCTAAGAAGGCTGTGATTTCTGTCATTTCGATCCAACAAAAACATCAGTACGATAGACATTAGACATAGATTTCTTAACCACATGAGAAAGTCAGCTGAAGAATGTATACGATATGTAATTACTACACACTTCATGGATACCACTTACTCCTCTGTCTTCTGACCTCGTTAGTTCCCCCCTCTCCCATTTTTCGCTTAACTTTCACATTGAATTCTACACAGAGTATTACATCACCATCATTTTTTCATTCGACTTAGTATATACCAAAAATTTTGATTTTTCAATCTTAAGAGTTCTATTCCCTGTATTAGATTATCTCTGACTTATCACCGACCCAACAACAAATTTGATCGTTTTTACGAGAAGCCCCGCCCTTATACATTGATAACTCCTGATAACCTGATCATCTTTATGTTATGTTTCACTAAGCACTTATAACAATCCTTATTAGAGGACTGATTTATGATGATAAACAAATTATACGTAAAAATTGTATTATAACCAGTTTTGTTTAATATTATAAGTTGTAGGTAGCTGACGAGAACCAACGAAATAAAATACATCTATATTCCTCTGAACCAATATTTTTTCTATCTTTATTCGAATTCATACAGGGGAATTCGTATATGGTTCTTATGGATATGCGACAGTTTTTCAAGACTTCCGGATCCACTAAAATGTACTGAATGTGCAAACAGCACACCAAGTTTAATACGATATGCTGAGGCGATTGTCATCAACAGATTTTTTTTTAAAACTTATGGATTTAAGAAGGGATCAATCTTTCACTCCCTTGGTACCTAGTTGAATTTCGATTTTGATTACATTGATGGAATAATCGCCCATACTGGAAGTTTCGACCTACTGAGCTGATTTCAGTCTTATGAATTATAGCTTTTTTGAGTTATTACGTGATCCTATAAGCATTCAGATAGAAATCAGATAGCTTCATGAACGAAACAATCTATTGCTTCGATTAGAAAGATTTAATTCCAATTAGAAACATTTTCTAGTCAATAACACACTGACAGATAAACCAGTCTACTAAGATATCTTTGATACAGTCAGGCAAGTAATTGACAATGTTAGTTGGTGTAAATTGTGTTAATCAATAAACAAATCACAGCAATAGTCTGCAAGTGTACATAATAAATTTATGAACCAATATTATCGCTATTCTTTTAGGTTCCCATTAGAACCTAACGTCTAAACAGTTCACCTCCATTTCATCCTGGCTTCAGGATTCCCCACACTCTTTCATTTCATCTCCACATGAACCCATCAATTTCCTCTTCAAATGCCTCCCATCCAGGTTTCACTAGAGGGCTTGGCGCGCAACGTCACTCAATGGTCTCTTCATCGTGTTTCCAGCCTATCTCCACTTCCTTCAGAATGTTTGTTCTTGGTTTGTTCGTCGTCAGATAGAGTTCTTTATTGTTAATTTTTTTCTGCTCGGCCAGCTAATGTTCAGTATGGAGTGTGAACCAATAAGATAATTTATTAATTAGTCAATCAAAAGATACAATGTCAGCAAATAAGAGTGAATTTAGTGAGAGAATGACGGATGTTGTTGTGCTGAGTGAAGTTAAATAGAGAACACTAAAATCAACAACGAGAACACAAGTAAAAACAAAAAAAAACAACCAGAGTAAAAAGGAACTAACCTTTCCGCTTTTCTTTTCTCTTCTTCACATTCAATTAACAATGTTTGTAATTCCATACATAATTCATTAGCTCTCTCACGTTTATCATCATAACAACGACGTATATCTTGTGCGTGGCATAGCTCTTCACGTCGACGACGAATTAACATTAATTCGAGTTTAGGAGTGCATTGGCCTTCAAGTCGAATATCCTATAATTATGTATAGGTAGACAGATAATTAGGTAGGTGAGCAATTAGATATCTGAAGGAAATAATGCATATATACACACAAACTGAAATGAAATATACAGATTTATATATAAACCACAAATTATGCTTAAGTATTTTATTTATTCACAAGCATTAGGTTCGATAACAGTTAGAAGTGGGCAAACTAAAACCTGGCAGCAGCCCATAAAGTCTTCCACAGTTGGTTTGAGTCACATAGGAAGGTCTAGACTGTTAAGCTGCTGGGATCCTTGAGATAACAAGAATCAATGGCTGGTGACTATTAGTGACATGGCTCAAAATCGTTCTCAATGGTGCAGATACATTCAGTTTTTGTGATCTCATAGATCCATTAAACCCTGATGCTTACCCATGTTACTAATCTTTCGCCCACACATTTCTGTTCATTGAAATAGTTCTCCTGAACTTTCTTCTCTCTTTCTTGTCTAGTTTATCGAGTATGAAAACCTGAACTTGTGCTCATCAGTGCAAAGTTCTATGCTGAAACTCAGTCAATCAGTAGTGATAAATAAAGTAGGAGAAATACTCAGCATTCCGTAATTTTTACTCTCTTCTTTTTCTGACGAATTATGATATAAAAAAACATTAAAACATGCGGATTATCATATTTTTTGGTACTATTTACGAGCATTCAGATTCTTAAGAAACGACAGCTATCACTTGATGAAAGTAAGTAAGCACTACAGACAGTCGAAATGAAGGTGGGAGTATCTAACGTAATAGGCTATCAGGAAATATAACTTTATCAGAAACAGTACACATAGATCTTTTCAGGCATTTTGAACTGATATTTTGTGATTTATTCTCTGAACAAACATTTTCCAACGGTTCTCTAACCGATGTCAGCTCATGATGAAATCCTACTGTGGTAGTGTGACACAGACAGTGAAATATTATTCTCACAGTTCAATTCCGCATTAACAACAGACTACAATATATCTTAATGTCAGTAAAAAGTTTGAGCATTTTGGAATAGATCAAATAAAGTATAATTATATTTCAATAGTTTACAAACAATGATACGTTTTATTATTGGTAATACTTCGAGCAAACCTGGAATATAATTCTGAATACAAAAACATGACTGAACAAAAAATGAACTATGTATATGAGTACAAGTCATAAATGTGTGAACAAAACAATTCCAACAGGGGTGTATATACGGGCAGTAATTTTGCTCGAAATATTACCAATAACAAAAGTTATCATTGTATGTAAACTATTGAAATATAATAATACTTTATAGGATATTTCAATTTGAACATTCTATTTGATGTTAGTGACAGAATACATTTCCCACGGTTATATACTGCATTAACAAAAGAATACTATGTACATTTGAACATTCTATTTGATGTCGTTTGATATAAACCAAAATTACACACAGCGATTGGTTAACGAGTATAAACTGGAGATGTATAAACAGCGGTTAAATTGATGAAAAATATACGCTGGCTTCTGTGTCTTGTCTTCTGTTGTTACACTATAACCGACCAAACATTTTCTGCTTCTAAGTTTTATTACGAACTGACTTCAGTTAGAGAACCGTAGCAAACTGGTTAGTTAGTGTTGAACATTTGTCTCATCCTTGTTCGGGACTCTTAATTAGTACGTACTCATGACCACTACCAGTGATCGAACACAGGACCTTCAGGTTATAACAACAAAAGGCAAGACACGGAAGCCAATGCATAGTTTTCATCAATTTAACCGCTGTTTAAACATCTACAGCTTATACTCGTTAACCAATCACTGAGCGTGTAATTTTGGTTTATATCAAACGACATCAAATAGAATGTTCAAATAGATGCATTGTATTCTGTTGCTAATGCCGAATCGAACTATAGGAATATGTGAGAATAATATTCCGTTGGTACACACATTGGTCTGTATCACACCCCCACAAGGTTACTAGGCGATCTTGTAGACCATTCGACCACCGGGAGGGGAACCAATGGCCCCTGAGTTTTAAATTCTGCTAATTCGAGAAACATGTTTAGCGCAACTATCAGTAAACGACATCAGTGAGTATTTGTCGTCGTACGCAAATTGGTGGACCCTATTGATCCCGACTTCTCACTAGGACTTCAAGCAGCTTCATTTTGTAGTCAGTCACTAGTGCGCACTAGATTTATTGCAATAAATTCCATACAATAGGCACCTAGACACATTCGAATAAGACCTGTTAACTGTTTAGGATAAGTGAATTTGAAAAGTTTATTCCTAATGATGATTCAGAAAAAAAAACTTTGGTCATTGGCCAAACCACTTAGATACGCGAAATATTGGAGTAAACATCAAGATTGGTTAAATATTAAAAATTCAGTGCAATCGAAGTGGCACAGATTAATCACGCTAAGTGCTTTGATCTACGAAAATAGGAGGTATGATCGATTCAAAGTGAAGCCCTCTTTCACTCCGACTCGTGCGGACAGACTAAACGTGTATTACAACTATACTTTCTATTGCTCTTTGTAATGAGCTCTATGATTTCATCACTTAACAGAGCAGGCGCCAGAAAACTCAATGTTGCTAATGACTATTAAGTGAAGAAACACCATCAGCTTAAAAGGCTTCATGAAAGTTAAATCTTCTCTCCTCAAGTCACACTGTAGACATATATGTGTACCGATTATCCCAAGTAGTCTAGAAATTAGAATTACAGGTTCTCACCTACGCGTCCAGGATTTGCCTTGCGACGCGTGAGCTACTTTGATCATCAGAGGTTCAATGGTAGAATTCTTGGCAATCATGCGAACCAACTTTTGTCCAACACACTACTAAACGGTGCAGCTTACCAGCCGTTAGTAAGCCTAGAAAAGATGGAAGGTTGCACGTGAGGCCCTTGAAAAAAAAAACTTCATCGATACTAACACTTCGAAGCTCGAAGCAAGCAGTGGAAAAAAATAACCATTGAACACTTACTTCTAGGTAGATAGCGATTTCTTCTTTCCATAACTGACGTAGGGAATTAAACTCATCATCTGTATACTGTAGTAGACTTGAACAAGTGACATTTAAGTGTGAAAGAATTTGACGAAAACTAGGACGATTCCCAGGTTTAACATTCCTATTGATAGTATATGAGAAGAAACAAGAAATGAAAGTGAACAGTCTTTATAAGATACTGTAATACATGTTCGTGAATGAAATATGAAATAAAAAAACTAACTACAATAACTCAATTTTATCAAAATTCAGTTACCTAAATTTATATACAATATTAGCATACTTAGAGGATACGGTGCACACGATTGACGAAAATTCAGGGATTACAATTCTGTTTATACAAGATGACGCCTCAATTCTTTAGGTTTGTACGCCTTTGGTTGCTAAGCATAGCTGGCGCAGTTACCATGAAAATGTTTCAACCCAATCTATGTATTTCCTTCTAGTATGGGACTCTTCAGCAATGCTCACCCATGACCCCAACGAGTGGCAAACCAAGCAGCCTCATGTTACAGGGTGAGTACACTGACCATTCAGTCAATGAGACGGGATCCAGTGACCAGTCTATGAATTCTAACTTCTGTCAGCTCACGAGTTATAGAAACATCGCTATCACCTAATCTTTCTTTATTATCATTCTCACATTGTGTTGTAATTCCGTATTTCAATCTTTTTTGTTTAATTTATTATAAAACCAAATACTTTGTTATCTTATGGGTATGAGGTGAAAGTTATTTTCCCCTCTGCCTCTACACCTACTGTGTGCACATTGGCCAAATGAAACAGGAGGTAGCTCAAACATACGCTAAAGAAACCACTGAGTGACTTCACGAGCCAATCACGCCCTCGAGTGTTACCCTACTTGGAAACAACGAGTTCAACGTCCGAGAGTGTCATGGAGGGTATCGTGTGGGGAGTTAATGAATGCTTATAGGTAATCGTGGAGCCAGATAAAAAGAAATGCAGAGAAGAGGATATCATGGAGATGTTCTGTTGAAGTTCTACGTTCTATTCAGAAATCAAGGGAATAGTAATACTGTGTATCAAGGCATTAAACAATAAACGGTGATGCTTCAGATAAAACAGTCTCCCTTAACAGGCTTTATCCATATTATACTTGCTTTCGTCTGGTTAATCAAACAGTATATAAAGTCTTGACAAATTATACGCCTCTGTTAGCCAAAAAACACTTATTACTCGCTATAAGGCTGACTAGTAAATGTTCATTTTCAGGAATTTGATTGGTTACAGGATTAGTCACAAACTGACATCAGTTAGAAAAACAGCTGAAAAACCTGATAGTACTGGTAAACTGTTTCATCCTACACTGGGACTCCTCACAATACACATCCACGAAGGGTTCAGACAATACTGATTCACAGTGTCTTTTTCCAAAATGAAACAAAAATTTGTCCACAAGAATGAAACCGTTTTATGTAGTTAGAGAATGAGTTATCATGCTTAAAAATTATACTGAAAATGATATTTTCATTTAAACACGTTTACCAGACACTCCTCAACGAACGTTCATAGGCAAACAAAACAGGTTATTTAGCTACTTAACTAACACCTGCCAGAGAGAAATTGTGAAATATGAATTCAATTCGCAAGAAAGAACTATCTACGTAGTTTACTGTTGACTGAATTCAATCGGTGAAATATTGTACCTACTCACAATTTGAAAGTAGCAGAATTTTTCAGAACTAAAATCTATCGCCATAAAAAAAATATCAGGTAGTCCGTAAAGTTTATCTTTCAAAAAGCTCGTTTCCCATGAAGATACAGAACACCATGCTCATGAGCGGTAATAGGCAACGAACGTAGACAATCGCTTAGTTTTTTTTATGGTGATAATGTATCTATATCCAATCAGTGAGAACTAAACAGAAGGAAATCTGGGTTCTGGATTCCATTGTTGGTAACAGCCGACTAAGTGACATCATTAAGGTCGCAATTTGTGAATTCATGAAATTTCAACACAGTTTCCTTCGAAAACCACAATTATTCAGATAACATTATGTGATCTGCTCAGGCCTAATCCATGCCTCTGAGTTCATGATCGATTCACAAGACAGTGGAGTAGCGTCGGCAGCCACGTGGGTCATGGGTGCATAATGATGAAAAGTCGTAAATAGGGACGAAACAACCGTCGAGTACTTCCTGGTTTTCAGTAATTGGATGAAGGATGTCATCATGAGCTGACATCAGTTAGAAAACCACTGTGATTTTCAGTGATTCTCTAACTGAAATCATTTCGTGATTAAACTTGATAAAAGCGTTAGTCAAAAGACTGTAGCGTCTTAGAGAGGCACGTAATTAAATTTACCTCTTCACTAGCTAGTTAGTGAGCGATTTTACACCATTAAGGAATAATTGGTGGAAATGTGCCATAGCTATCACACATAGACAGACAGGCAGACACTCATCGGCTTCTATTGCAATTTTATCGACTATTAGTTATTATTTGAATACGTGTCAAGAATATTCATCGCATTATGATTATTGTTATCATTATCGTTATCACGGTAATCATTTACTGTAGTCCACACACAAAGTAAGACAGAAATACATTGTAACACGTGAGAGTATATATATATATATGCACTTAACCGCCCACGCCCACGCACACACACAATAAACACAGACGTTTCAAAAAGTTACTACTAAAGTAGGAAGTAAAAGAAGGATTGAAAATATACAGCAAACACTATGCTTATTTAATTCAATTTTAGATTATCCCATCGATTGATTGGACCGAAGTGCTCGGTCTCAGGTTGACATGTCGACTTCTTGTGCAGATGCTTCGACGATGTCTGGGCATGTAATCAGAAGTTAATTGATGGATGGTGATGTATGATTGATAGCTTTATTCTGAGCATCATGTTTATATACGTTACAGAATATTCAGCTCTGTTTTATCTACTGCATGTACAGAAACTTCAGTTAGAACAGGAATCAACAATATATCATTCGATGGGATTTTGTTTGATCTACTCTTCAAAAATGCATGTGAGTGCAGATTGTTCTTCAAGGGTGTCAAGATGTGGCTAAAACAAAGTATAACTGAGTAAACTTGTTGCATTGTGTTCCATGGAAAATTATTTAACCCAATGATTTAAGCAGACTTCCGTGATAAAAGCCTTCAACACATCAAAAAGTAGATACACCCAGGTGTTATTACACCAGGATATCCATATGAGAATACTTCCAATCAATGATTCTTTGAATAAAACGGATATAAAAGTGAACTTCTTGAGACAAACTATATACTACTGATTGATTGAGATGATTAGGTCTATACGACTCACATCAACCGGTAGTGGTTGTTAGTCAGCCAGATCGAAATGATCTAAACACTGGACAGCCGTCCCTCTTGTTTCAGATCAAGCTTATCAACAGTTTACCCGGTATGATTCAACTCAGAAAGATTAATCAGTTCATACAAACCGAATTCTGGTTAACTACTTGGACGAACTGGCAACACTTTAAGTCAGTTTAGAGGTAGCAAGCCAAGCACTACTGGTTGACCTGACTAGTATACAACTACTCATCTCAATCAATCACTGGTGTATAGTGTCATGCATTTCTGCTTGGCCTTCCTGATTATCAAGTAGATCACATAATGAGGTGATCTGAACAATTTCTGTTTCTAAAGAAGACTTTGGTGAAACTTCGCCTCGTCGAACTATGTGAATTTGAAATTACACCCTAGAAATGTGAAAGCGCCTAATGGAGAATACATCTTGTCTATCACATTATTGGATAGCCAAGGCTTTAACCTGTTACTGAAATTCAGATCAAGTTTAAATGGTTATATATACTATAAGTATAATTCGATGGGTAATATCTCATTCACCACATACTGTTCAGTAAGTAACACATTCTGAAATTCAGTTTACATTATCTATTGTTAAAATTGGTATGATCTGAAAATATATTATCCGAATAGTGGTAGAATAAACCAACCGATATTATCTTCATAATATTTGTTAAACCCACAACAAATCAGAGCACAGAAATAGGTGGTTAGCTAACTGTATGTTATAAGGATGTATATGCTCATTAAAAATGCTAATGAATAACATACCATGATACCTTGATAGGAAACGCCTATTTAGTGAGAAGACAGGGCAATTTTACCATAACCTTCAATAGTTAATCTCATTCCACATTTTTTTTAAATGAAATTAGTTTCGCTTAATTAATAAATTAACAAAATTACATTTCTAGTCAAATAACCATGGTGACATTAGTGTTCATTAACAACTGGGTATATAGTGTCTAGGTTGACAAGGCTTAAATATATGTAAAAATAATGACAGATACATACGAACTATAGTGTTATCTAGATGAATCATTTTGAGTGGTGTTGGAAGTGTGTGTGTATGTGTGTGTGGCCAATCAGTAGTTCCCCACTGCCAACACCATGGGAATTGACTTTCGCTTGAAATGAAATGTTACTCAATAACAGACTACATGCAGTCACAGGGCCACCTAAGAAGGCCTCAGAAGAAAGGACAAATGGGAGAATTGCTGCTGAAGCCTTATGTTTCACTCGAGACCCAAGGGAAGGTGTACGAGCTTAGGAAGAGTTGTCACCTGAAGTGATGACAACCAGTAATGCCTGCAAGGGTTGCCAACTATCCCAATTCTTGTAATATTGCATCATAGATGCACTAATGAGTATGACCAGTTTTAACTATATAATCATAGACTTGTTACCACAGTACAGTTTTGTCAACGCAGTGTGTCAGAGTAACACTGTCCTCCTTGATGAAAACGCTGATCAAATGCAGAATCTTCTGAACACCTTGAGTAGGAACTTTTGAATGTTTAGCATGCGAATCACTGAAGTCAAATGTAAATTGATATTGCTGGACTGGTCAGTACCCACTCGCAGTTTAAATACAGGGAGTAAAGTGGCAGACGATACTGACCACTTCACTTATTTGGAACGTTACACCAGCCCTAATAATAATAATCCAACTTATTCCAAAAATAGTACTTATAATACAGAATGTAATTCTCAGCATTTGTCACAATATTGCATCTAATTTACTCAAAATATAAATAAAATTAAAAATTAAAACAAAATTAACCAGAGGAATTTGTCCACGTTTACGATATAAAGTCAAAAATGTTCGAAGTACGAATTGAGAATATTAAATATAATAATAATAATGAGTTTGTTTCAAACAGTATTGTCGATTCAGTTTGGAAATTTTAGCATGTTATAGATTATTGAATCTAATGTTCTGTTGATATAGTATGGTGAGGGGAAATACAAAATTAACAGTCATAATACAGCTTAAATGATGTTCACACTTATGAAAAAATAAACAATTAAAAGCAAAAAAATTGAGAGGATTATAAATATAATAAGTACAATGACAATAAAGGTTGATGTTGTAAGGGTGGAGGAAATGGTTTATTTAGTAGTGCTAAGAAGGTTAGTTAGTTCATGCCTAACAGAATGGATTGTTGACGAAATCTCACAACGGATACAAAAGGCTTGTGTGGCATCTAAGAAATTAATTCATCTCTGGCGTAGACGTTAAATATAGCGGTCGATCAAAAGACATTTGTACTATGCAGCTGTTCACTCAGTCCTCTTGTATTTCTGTGAGACGTAGTCCTGGGAAATGGTACACATGAAAAGGCCATCCATCTCTAACTACAGATGTCTGCATTCTATTTCACGTGTGAAATAGTATAATACGGTGCCTAATACTGATGTTAGGTGTAAAGTTTTAGGTAAGGAGGGGAAGTCAATCGATCAGGTTGCGAATCTGCATCAATTGAGATGGTTACGTAACGTGTTGCGAATATCGATCCACTGCCTTCCACAACAGGCAATGTCAGACGAAATCGGATTGAGTTGGAAAAAATGGAGTCACTGCACAAAGTCTTCTGCAGTTAGGATGATCTACGCAGGTACATACTACTTGACTGAAGTCGTAGAGACACTTACAGTTATGGCTGGAGGCTATTGGTGTTATGGCTCAAAGTCGTTCTCAGTGGCCCAGATGCATGCACTCTTTGTGACCTCCAATATTCATTAAACCCTCATGTTTTACAACGTTTTCTCTCTTCCACACACTTATGTTTATTATAGTTCTCTTGAATCTATTGTTCTCTCACCTCTCTACTTCTGTGGGGTAAATGGACTGTGGCAACTTGACCTGCCGCACATATGTGTAAAGTTCTATGTAGAAACGCTGAATGCTACAGGTTAGAACGAATCTGACATGTAATACAAGTTTCCATTGAAGTGGTGACAGAAACTGCTGATGAATTCTGACATTGACGAGACATAGACTAAGCATTTTCTGCCTCATTAATTTCTTAAAACCTAACATCAATGATGCCTGAAATCTATTGATGATTATGAATGATTTTTCCTCACCCAGTTATAATGTTGTTTTCTGAGCTTTCGCCCTAGTAACCACTTGTATCCATATATTCATTTAGTTAAAATAGGACATTCCGAGTTAAGAACGGTGAACTACTAGTTGTATGGTAACGCTACCACCTATACAACACTCGAAAATTCTAGAAATACTATCATACGGGATCAAGATTGCAAACTCTTGTTTATATGTCTTGATATTGAAAAAAACAACTAAATGATAAACAATTTACTTCTCTACTATCGATCAATGCGTTTTAATGAGCTAATAGACATATAACACTAAGACAATACTCTTCATTAACCAATCAAAAACTCACACGTTTCATATCATCTAGTCTTAGGAATTGCTATACTGCTAGGATGATGTCTGCTGAAACGAATTCGAGTGTAGTTGGATCTCTTTCATTTCTTTGCGTTCCATTTGGAACATAGGGCTTCATTCTTCAGTTATGAGGTTTCAGTGGCAGTGGTGTTACTTTTACAAGGTGGATTTAGTAGCCTCATACCCAACCTTTCCACTTTACTAGGCTTACTACCAAACTAAGCGAGGTTTAGCAGTGAGTCGGCTGGGAATCGGACCCGGAACACGTGAGGCGTGGTTGGCAAGCAATCTGCCACTGAACAACCGACTCACTTCGATAACGAAATATATTTGAGTCGACCCAGACTTTTACTTTCACTTCAATTCGTAAGCCATTAACATCCAAAGCTACCTTAGATAGCCTGATCAGAATAAAAAAATTTCTCAAAATATTCATTTAAAGCCAAGGCAAGCTAATATGTCAACAGCTCCGACGTAGACATTGTTCTTGAAACCACTGTTTCTTCGGCTATAACATCAGTGTAATAATAATACAACGCTTAAAGAATGGAGTAAGAGGAGCATTAAATGCAGATGTTCACTCTCTCTTCATAAACAATTCAGTTTAACGTTCGGGAATTAAGGATGAACTACCTAGTTTTACCTTCTCTATGTGTATCTACCACTTTTCCTGCTCCTATGAAGCCAGTTATATTGGGCGTATAATTAGGCACATTCATCGTAGAATTTCCGGACATCATTCTGCTTGATTAGGCAAAGGATAAACAACGTCTATTCTCCGATCTCTTTTAGCTCATCGTGTAGGTGCTGAAAATGAAGTCGATATAAGCAAGGCCTTGAAAGTTATTTAACGTATTTCAACTAATCTCAATTTATCCTTACGAGTCTAGTTTCTTCTAGTCTAGTTCCACCTTAGGATGCCTAATTTATGTGTTCAGAAGAAGCTCGTGTAGATGCTTTCCCCTACTTTGGCCATCATTGTTTTAACTATCTTTAATTTTCACATAAATTTCTTCCCAATTTTATTTGATATTATATTTAGTATTACAATTATATGCATATTGTCAATTACATATACCTCTAAATGCCCAAATGGTAATTTTTGCGATATTCAAAATAATTAAATAGGCAGTATACAATAACATATTTTTTGTTTAAAAAAATCCTGCCATTCTTACCAGCATGTTTTCATAAGTACGCGTAATTCAGTAGGACATGTCATCGGAACTGGTAATCGGAGATGTTCACTACCAACTCCCCATAAAATAGCGGTTGAATCAACATTATGATAGGGTACTTCACCGGTTAATAATTCCCATAAAAGTACACCATAAGACCTAAGCAGATAATCAAGTACAAGAAAGAAATATCATGAATTACTATTCACAGTATATGAATAAAAACTGAAAAATAATGATTTATCAAATAGGCAGAGAACACTGTGGAATATGTAGAAATCAAAACACCTTTTCAGACATAAAAAAACTACTGAAGTTCAACACTTGAAGGCAGAAAATGACTGGATCGATTAAGGCATCATGTGAAACAAATATCAAGAAAATATTTCATATAACTGAACTGTAGCTGATCTCACACTGTTCTGTTAAAGGTTAGAGGGGTCTGATATCTAAAATGGAGACAACCACAGAAGTCCCCATATAGGAATTCCAATATCCAACAACTTAATTTGCCCAAACACATGTGTGATTCTGTAGACTTTGATTTTTAATGAACTAGCTTGCTGGCTAGAAAGAGGCTGGTGAGATTTTAGGAGGCAAAGAAGGATGAATATAAAATGCGAAGTTTTTGAAACAATAATCTAACTTTGCTCAATATGTACCTCACAAATGGCAACGCATGATGATACCACAAACAACCGAAGTTCACCAATTTGCGTAGTTAGTTAACAAAGAGTGAGGTAATCAGAAAAATATTTTCAAGCATCAGTTTGAAGGGGTTTGATTTGTTACAGGTTTGATCGGGAACTGACATTAGTTGCAGAACCAATGGAAAACCAGGTAGTACTGGATAGTTGTTTTGTTCTACTTTGGGCTTCTTCAACAGCACGTACGTGTCGGGTTTCAAATACAGGATCTTCCACAAAGTCAGGTAAGATAATGCATACTTGCCTATGACATCAGCTGGCTGTTGTGCAACATATATCACAAATTGGCAGAAGGTGGAATTCATGAGCCACTGAATCGGGTCCCAAATATTAAATGGTCTACGAACTCGCCTTGTAAGTGGAAGGCCGTACGTTTGAACCCTAGTTTGTGCTTATTGTCGAAGAGTCCCGAGCAAAGCCGGAACAGCTCTCTAATACTACCTGATTTCCTAATGGTTCCTCTAACTGATGTCAGTTCATGGTCAAACCTGTAACCAATCAAATCCCTGTAAAAAAAATATTGACTGTTGGCTACAGAAATTTCAGAACGAATATAGAAAACATGCTCTACGTTTACTAAAGAGTAGTTAATCCAACCCTACTTTACAGCCACAAGAAGTTGTTGTTAAAAGTAAAAGATCAAAAAGAATGCAACCGGGATTGATCATGGACACTGGCACAGCACTGCTCACATGTGGTGAAACCAAATAGTCGGCAATATTAAATAATTAGATGTAGAATTATGTATAAGGGAAGAAATAATTAATGACTAGGTGAAGCTTAGCTGACTGAAGTAATTAAGAAATCTGCTACGCATTCCAAACTATCAACTTCCTAAGTAAGCAATGTTAATTGTCAAGCCATAAGAGGAAACCGACCGAAGACTTTTGTGACTGTTGGTCTGAGTTGTACAGGAGGATTTCGGTTGTCTAGTTGGTGTTTTCAAAATGTTGAGGACCAGTCTAGTTGGCATCTCTGAATGAGATAGGATATACGATCAGTATCAACCACAAGATAAACCGCTTGAAACATGATCAGAATAGGCTTCCCTTTCGACTCTAAATCCAAGAATCTAAAACGGCTGTCAAAAAATACGGCATCTATTCTATCATATGGATGAAGCATGTAGACAACTATCAAAACTAATTTGACTGTGAAAATGTAGGAATTTTAAACCATGGAAACATCAAAAATGACAGACAATTTCTAGAAGCCTGGTGCTTAGACAAATCAGCGATTAACCGATATATTTGTTATAGATCAAATCGCGCTAAATCACGAATTTGTAAAAGTTAAATAAATATATAAATATGTATAACAAGTGCGTGTATGTGTGAGATCAAAATGTTTAAGATGTGTTGTACAGTCACATATGACGCGTCTCAAGTATCTTACGTCGTCTTATTGTTTTATCAGAATTCATAAAGGGAGCAAATTGCTTTAAATTTTGCAATTTCTAAAGGGTTATAGCGATGAGCATTTTTGTTTTGATTAATTAATATACCCAATGGTTGATTGACTTAACTGACACGTATGATACATAAATTGTTTCTTAAAATTGATTACTTTTCAATGAAATTCATTCTAACATTACACGGACCAAGTAGGATATTTTGTATGCATTTTATTATTAGATGACCGAAGGTAATTGGCAGGAAGCCTTGGACCTTGGTTTTGTGCTTTTTGGCACTAGTCAGCAAGGCGAATCTCTAGTCTTGAGCGAACTCATATCCCTTCTGAGATTCGAACCTGTATCACCTAATGGCTGTAGTCAGAGACGTTACCACTGATCTATTCGAGCATCTATAGGACCATGACGGATATATGGATTGGTCAGTAGGGAGCAACCGATGTCATGAGTCCAGTCCTTGGTCTCTAACTGCAGTACTAGGTGACGCAGGTTCAAATCTCCGAGTGGACATGAATTCCTTCATGCTTGCGGATAAACTCAGCTGACTGATGAGTGCCAACAAACCTGAAAGTTAATTCCAAGGCTTCCAGTCGATTGCCTTCAACTATATAATAGTAAAAATTCAGAATGCACTCTGACGGTGAGCCACCTAGACTGGTGACCATATTGCAAACTTGACTGACAGAACTCAGTCTGCAGCAACACGAAGGACTAGACGTATGACACTACTTGCTACTCGGTATCCAATTAAAACATCATGTTATGCTGCTAAGTGTTTATTCTTTAATCTGTAACATTCTGGACAATAAAAAAGTATAAGAAAGAAATAATTTTTGCTTAAACTTCACACCAGTTGATTTGATATGGTACCGTTTTTTGAAATTCTCACTGTAGAAGATGATGGTTTAGTCACCACATCGAGTGAGTGGCATACAACCATTCATCTTAATCAATCACTAGTATATAGTGTCATGCATTTATGCTAGTCTCCGGTCACTTTTGAAAATTTGTTTGTATATTGCATCCTCTTTAAACCCTATGTATTATAGTTTTATCCATATTAAACAGTGTACCAACATTTACACCGGTAAACAATGTTTCAGAGATCCAACACTCAATACGTCCTATATATATATATATATATATATATATATATATATATATATATATCATTTCATTGCGTTCATAGTGGAACATAGGACTTCAGACTTGAGTTTTGAGGTTTCAGTAACAGTGGTATTGTATACTTTTCAAGGGCGGGATTGCTGGCCTCGTAAGCCCAATTTTTTCTCTCTTCAGGTCCAGGCAAGGTTACGTGGACCGCCTCGGTTGAAAATTGAAGCCGAATCATGTATGGCGTGATTGGGGAGGGTTTTACAATTGAATCAATCATCTATCTTATTTACATGAATTCAAAACTTGTACAAATTTCATAATTATGTGGCGCTGAATTGATTAGCCAATGACTGCTTGTTAACAAAACAACCAAATGTTATTTAACAATCCACATAATAGCTAAGTAAACACATAAAGAAATACAGACAAAGAAGAGTAAAAAGAAAGTCTGCAGATACATATGTATTCCATAGACTAGACACACAAACACACACATGAACACACAAAACAAACTTGAACACAAATAGTGTAAGAATTGGGGAAAGGAGAAGAATACGCTAAAAAAAGAAACTAATAGCTGTTGAGATACAAGGTATACAAAGAAGAGATGTCTACCCACCTTTCCACACACACACACAGATAAAATATATCATCATAAGAGAGAGTAAATTGTAAGTGCAAAGCATACCAAAAACTCAAAGAAATATCGGACTGATTTCTTTTCATTCACTTCTAAAATCAGTTAAGTAAATTTTTTAAAAAGGCGGGGAAAATTAAACGTACTAAGAAGAGAGAGACCATTTTAAAAAGGAGATAAATCAAGAAATATCACCAAGTCTAATCATAATAGTTAAATTACTATTGATACATTGAAATTTAATTTCCTCACTAGTAAAACAAAAATAAAGTGTATATGTGCTTAACAAATGAAAAGTACTGGGTGTGACAAGTGTTATAAGATTAATCAGTGTAACATGAACAACATTTGAACAAACAAAGATAGCTAATTTCGAATGAAATCAACATTTGGTGACTTAGGGATTGACTTGTTGTCAGGGTACAGTCTCGTCAACTTAACGTATGCGGATGTTATTGTCTTTCTAGGCAAAAATTCTGCCAAAATGCAGAGTCTTATGAGAAAAAAATCTAAGTACGTATAGAATGCGATTCGCTCTAACAATTATGCGAGACTACAGATATGTCTACGCAGCCAAGCTTTGACAAAAATATCTTTTAAATGTGGCTAATGATTAAACTACACTGATTGCATGACAATTAGGGTGAAACAAAATTGTGAACTGATGGTGAATGCAAAGAACAACAAATTGAAAGATGCAATTGAATTAATGACCCCATACACCATGTGTGTTTATAAATTCCTCTATTGTATGTGACAACTTACCTCCTACATCGTTCTTATTATAAAACTTTATTGACACCCACAGAACATTATTTTACCATGAGACTTTAAGTTGGTGGAAAATCCAACTTTTTGAAAAATCTTACAGGATATCATCATGAGCTGACATCGGTTAGAGGAAAATTGGGAAAACCTGGGAGTACTGGAGAGCTACTATACGGATCAGAGACTTGCACTGCGCGTCATAAAGAGCATCTCAAATAAACTACAGACCTTCATTAACAGTTGTCTTCGCTCAATACTCAAGATCAGATGGCTGGCCAGAAAATATCAGCAACAGGGATCTCTGGCAATGAGCGAACCAACCAGGAACCGGTTGTGAAACAAATAGGCAGGAAGAAATGGAGATGGATTGGCCATACTCTGAGGAAACCATCAAGTGACATCACTAGACAAGCCATTGCTCGAGTGGAACCCGAAAGGGAAGCGGCGAGTTGGTCGTCCAAGGGTGACTTGGAGGAGGTCATGTGAAGAGGAGATGAAAACGCGTGGGCAGACTTGGAGCCAGGTGAAGACTCTAGCAGAGAACCGAACAAAATGGAGACGCACGGCTGAAGCCCTATGTTCCTCTAGGAATTAAAGGAAAATAATAATAATACTGGAGAGCTGTTTCATCCTATTTTGGGAATCTTCACTAGTACGCACCCACCGGGGTTTGAACCCTCATAATGATATAAAACGCAAAACAGACAGAACATTGCAAAGATCCATCCACCGAAGAAGCACATGCAGCGATATTTAAATCAATTTAAACAATTTTTATCCTATTAACAACAAGAAGGCACTAGTTAAAACATTATTCCTTAGGGCAATAATGATTTGCCCCAGAGACAAGTTGAAAGAGGAAAAATGCCTACGAGACAAAGGATATACATAAACATTTATCGATAGGTTTGGAAATAAATGAAAGTAAAAGAACAAAAAAATACCACAGTGAATAAAAAGCCGATATTTATCCACCTAAGATTTAAAAGTGACAACATTACACAGATAAGTCCTATTCACTACCTTTACAAATCGGTGTTCCTCACTAGAGTAAAAGGGCAAATGCAAACATCTGGCGCCTACAACTAGACTGGTGTGGTGAGAGCTGTCTACTAGCCAAATTGGTAGACAGTAATTTACGTCAATATTTACGTTCCCAAGATTTGTCGTGAGAAAATGTGAACAAAGATTGATTCAAAACCGACCACAGCAGACTTTGCGTAGGCGGATGCAGTTAACATATAGAGGATTTGACATTCAAGAAACAGTCACAAATAGATGAAAGATTAACTTTACGTGAGAAACAACCAATCGGAAGACTGTGTTTGTTTGCTTAAATAACCATAGTAATGTACATGAAAATATATAAATATGCGTTGATTTCCTTAATAAATGATCTGTTGCCTGACTCTTGCCTTCTGTCGTTACACTGGTGGATACTCTGTTCTACCCCTAACGGAGCTGGAAAATCCTGATTCGAAACCTATAGTGCAAATAGGCTCGATAATCCAAATGGATGGAATGTCAAATGTATGGGTTTTGACTACCGACAACCATGGGGACGCAGCTCTTTGTGGTGCTCCACTGCCTTGTGGATCAGACTTAGAGTCAAAGATTCGTCGACGCAGTGGCCCCTTAAGACAACCACTTGCTTCAGTCTGGATGCCAGGGCAGTATGTCAGCCGTCACATAAACTGAGATTTTTTGTGAGTATTCTCATGGTGTTTATAATGTAGGAAGTTTGTTTTAATGGTAATAATATTAATCAACAAACGACTTAAGAAATCACCCGCTAGGACATTTCGCGCAGCTAGGTTGATCGATCGCTAATCAAACAGATACATTATCTTGCAATCAGCTGATATAATAATCTTCTTACAGCTGATAGTAATTAAAAAACTTACCATACATCAACTTTGAATGAGCACGGTTCATTACGTATTATTTCAGGTGCCATCCAAGCTACTGTACCTGTAAAAGACATCTTAGTAGAATTTTCTGTCCATTCACGAGATGCACCGAAATCAGATATTTTCAAGACATGATCATAACCAACTAAAACGCTGAAAGTAGAAAAACAGGAGAAAACAACCGATGAAACATAACAGTTAAATTAAGATGAGCAGTTAACTTGACACTGAAATACTGACCAATCAGTAGTGCATCTAAGTTATTCCCTGGAAATTTAGGCATGCAAACTAATTATTTACTATTATTACTCATTCTGTATGTTCTGAGTGGAAAAAAAAGGTTCAATGGCACTTCACCAATGTACTCAGTTGTCTACAATCTCTTTCAACTACATCCACGACTGGCCACAAGCATTCACCCTCTATTTAAATAATTTCCTCCATTGTCACCCTCAGATGCTCAATCTGTCACTGCAATATTATAGCTGTACATAAACTATATACATTGAAGAATCATTTGCAATCTATCAGCTACATTATTTTGCACATACCAATACATTGTATAATTTGGCCTTATTCAAAATTAGCAGAAGAACAACATTACAACCAAACAACTGATGAAAAGGATTCTGCAAAGTAAGTCTGCTTGAATGGTTAGGGTCTCAGTGCATCACACCTTGTCTTGTCAGAGAAATGGGTTACATAAAGTGAAATGATTGGTGAATTTATTATTAAGCAGAAAATACCAACCATTTGAGATAATTCATGAAACGACTTCAGTGTGGAAATCTGTTGCACTCAGAATAAGGAACAACATTGAGATTTTCAATACTAATGTGAAGTCAGCCAGTGCTTCTATGTGATTCAGAGACTTGGCACACACATCACTAGAAGCACTTACAACGGCCTACTGGAGACTTTCATCAACAACTGTCCCCTTCACTCTATAATAAAGATAAGATATAGCCAGAAAGGACCATCAACATGGAACTTTGGCTATAAACCGACCAAAAATTTACTGTTCAACAAATATGCAGAAGAAAATGGAGATGGAGGACACCAAGCGCCAGGCCCTAGAGTGGAACTCGAATGGGAAATAACCAGTTGAATGTGTGTCTGAGAATGATATGGAGGAGATGAAAGCACAATCATGGAGCCGGCTAAAAAAGCTATAGAGAAATGTCGCAGCTACATTTTCCACTCAGAACCCAAAGGATTATTAATAACAATAATGAAAGGACTTCGGTACTAACTCAGCTGTCCTACAACCGCTCTTCAACCACCAAACAACTTACTCGAATGGTTTCGAAAGTAACACACACCTACAGCGAGTGAGATGAATACAAAATTTCCCAGAGAATCGAATAAAAACCGAATATGGTAACAAAAATAGAAGCTGATACGATTTTAAAATGTGCTAAATGTGTTTACACTAAGTAATGGTTGCTTTTATTTACTTTTTCAAAAATGAATCCCTGTTAATATTTAAAATATGTGGGAATATCAGCTTACAGTTACGGGTTGAAGCTATCAATTGAGAAATGAGTTTACCTTTATCACAACAAAGATAACTGTCGTTTGATGTTTGAATTCTCTGATTATTTACGTCAACTCCTGAAAAATCACAGCAAACGTAAATTTCAAGTATGAAGAAACGACTAACTGTTAATCACTACAATTGAAGATAAGAAATTCTTGACTAGACTCCTCAAGGTAATAGTTACTCATCAAAATCCGAAGCAGTTCCCCTGAACTAATGCAGACCGATCATCTTTTTGTAACCTATTCTGAAGTGCGTCAATTCGGGATGGATCAAGCATTTATGAAAAGTTTTTGCGTTGAGTTGTCAACCAGTCAGTCAATTTAATTTTTTAAAGTGAGATGAAAGAAACCCAGGTGGAGAAAACCGTCTACTTACCATTTCGATGAACAGAGATTTGTAGACCGTAACAATTAAACATAACTATATTTCAGTTTCTCCTGTATTAAGTGGTTTAATACGGTGAACGATATCGAGGTTAGCCGTAGTATATTACGTAAGGAGAGTAAGTCGGGCGATTTAATGGTGAAGCTACATCGATTAAGAAATGGCTAGGACACGTGTTGCACAATCGAATCCATCTCCTTCTTCGACGAACAATGTTAGCTGACATAGGATTAGGTGGGAAAAGAGTTAGAAGTGGTCAAACTAAGATTCATCATCAGTCATCGAACTCTTTTACATTTGGTTTGAACGACGTAGGGAGGTGTAAACTATCTGACTGGTGTCCCCCGGATGTTGGGAACCAATGACTGGACACTGTTGGTGATACGGTTCAAAATCGTTCTCAGTGTTACGCATGTATTCACTTTTTTTAACCTCATGCTATTCTATGTTATTCTCCTTTCTCTCGTACATTCCTAGTCATTACAGTTCTTTTAAATATCTCTTTCCTCTACTTTTTGTGTTACATGCAGTGCAGCAACTTGAAATGGTATACTTCTGTGCATATTTCTATGTTGACACTCAATCACGTAATCACTTATAGTTTTGGTCTACATCCCATCTTCTCCCTCGCATAGACTTGTATGTATTTTTAGTTGATGAGCTGATTCGAATCAAAGGAAAATAATCAGTCACGATGTCACACTACACAACACACCTGATCTCAATATAAGTTAATCAGAGCGAACAGTATCTATATTTATGATAAACGGACAAGAAGCAGATAAAAAAATGTATCTCCCTATCAATAAACAGCCATTGTCCTTCATTATTCAACTCAAAACCTATCACACCAACATATTCTTCATTCATTTACAGGTTAATTATGCATTTCCCACTGCTTAATTATTTTGGACCGCATTCCTCAATCTCTGTTGACATGTTGGCCCAGAGTACAGATGCTTCTTCAAAAATGTTTAAGGATTAATGTAAAATTATTTTGGTTGGTAGTGACTAGCAGTGGAAACAACGAGTCCAGGGTTTGAATCTCAGTGGGGACACCATGCATTACTCACTGAAAATGCAGGTACATGCAGACGACGAGTAGTCCTGAGTAGGAAGAAATGCACAACCTGGATTCCATTGCTAGTAACTATTCACCAAATGCCATATTCTTTGGTTTTACTTAGGTTAATGACAAAACGTTCCTGCAGTAAACCATGATTTTTAATGGTTCTGCAACTGGTATCACATCTTAGTATTCTAGACGAACAATTTTTCCACTTCTATCCAAAAATATACATAATGTAGAGAGAGCTGTGATTCATAACTCTGTATAGATGATTTTAAGCACGTAATGGGCTAAAATATACACATTTTAATGGTCAGCCAGTAGATGCAGGGCGGATTTAGACGCATGCATACATCAATTTATTCAGCACATTTACTGCTTCATTTATAGAACAATTGTGAAGCTAGCTGGTCAAAATGTAAATAGGTGCCCACTAAATTATGAACTACACTTATTGCATGAATATTAATGATATCCCATAGTTACCAAATAGGCAGTGTAAAGTGTTAGAAACTGTGACCAGCTGAAGGACACTAAGATGACTAATTATAACCGCGTTGACTGGGAAGCTATTTGGAAGCTGATTTAACTCTAGGGAGTGCCCCAAAACTCTATCAAAATAATTCAACAGCTTTATGATAATGCCATATGCCAAGTGACACACATCGGGAAACTTAGTGAAGCCTTTAAAGACAGCAGTAATAGAAGGCTGCCTACGATCACTAATGATATTCCTGATTATGGTGGACTAAATCTTGCGATAAACCGAGGGGGTCGAGAAGACAGGAATAAGTTAGACCAAGACTCTACAAGATTCGGAATATGCGGACGATTTATGTCTCATTTAACAAAAACTCGAAGATATGCAGTCAAAAACTAGCAAGTTGGCAGGAAGAGAAGCAAAGAAAGACTTCAGTGAACTCACAGAAGACAGAGGGGATGAAAGTAACTAACGAACAATAACAACTAGGGTCACTTCTTTCAATTATTTGAGCTATATCGTTTCAACACATATATGAAGATGCCCAGGTCAGGATAGGAAACACACGAAAAACCTTCCTTACTCTGAAATCAGTTTCGAAATCTACTGCATTAGGCATAGGGAATAAGATCCGGATTTTTAACTCCGATGTAAGTCAGTTCTTCTAAATGTTTCATGGACTTGGTGCACAGGTCACCAAAATCATTTCCAAAAGGCCACTACAGACTTTTATCAATGACCGCTTTTGCTGCTAACTGAAGGCTAGATGACAGGGCAGAAAGGATTAGCAACAAGGGACTCTTGTCAGCTACTGACCAACCAATAACCTTTTTTATTTTTATTCTTAAACGTTCCCAGTGGAACATAGGGCTTCAAGCCAGAGGCTTGAAGTTTCGGTAGCAGTGGTGTTTACTTTTACGGATAGGGTTGCTAGCCTCATATCTCACCTTCCCTCTTTACCAGTCATATTACTGGCTTAGAGAGGTAAACGAGTGGGTCGATCATGGATCGAACCCCGAACCATATGAGGCGTGGTTGGCAAGTATTCCACCGCTGTGCCACCGACGCACCTATCGAACTGTAAATATGCCGAAGGACATGGAGAATTATTGGACACACGTTGAGGAGACAGTTGAGTGACAACACACGCCAGTCAGTCTTTCGAGTGGAACCCAAATGGGAAACAACAAGTTGGGCATGGATTTCATGGTGACATGAAGATCGTGTAAGTATGAAATGAAAGCTTATGGGTAATCGTGGAGCCAACTAAATACGACTGCAGAAAACAGGATGAAATGGAGATGTGCAATTGAAGTCATATGTCCCACTTGGAACCTAAGGGAATAATAATAATAAATATGGGGTTATATATATATATATATATATATATATATATGATTACACTTACTTTGGAGACTTTAGATCACGATGAATAATTTTACAAGAATGTAAATAATGCATACCATCAGCAATTTGTTTAATCCATGCATATATTAAGGTTGGTGATATAGGATTGCCTGAATGAATTAATTCATACAGCTGACCATATGGACAATACTCCATAAGTATACAATAACATGGTTGTTCTACGCAAACGCCTCTAAGTTAGACAAGAAGAAAAAGAAAAAAAACGAAACAAATATGTTAAGGGAAGAATAATTTTAGGATGAAATAGTTCGCCTTTGCAAAAGAAAAAGAATCTATTACAATCCTCTAAATGTCAGACAGTTAACTTTAATTTCAGACGTGAACAAGACTTGCTTCAACTGATTCATTCAAATGATTATTGTAATATCAACGGGACTGTGATAGTAAATAAATCAAATATTACCTAGCTTAGCACCAGTTTCTCTTCCAATCTTTGTTGGAAGTCTCATACCTTGTTTATTTCCAAGAAAATCTTTTGTCCAACTTATTAAATAAGGAAGTTGAGAATTCCTCACATAAGTAAGCCTCTTCTAATAAAATTTATTAATTCTTGTTTTCCTTTTATTCCCCTGGGTTCCGAGCGGAACATGGCGCTTCAACTACATTTGGTTCTGTTCTCTGAAGTCCTCTCTAGCTGGCCCCACGATTGAACATAGGCTATCATCTCCTCACACGACCTTCCCCATGTTACCCTCGAACCCACACCCAACTCGTCATTTCCCTTTCGAGTTCCAATCGAACGGTACCCTGGCACGTGGTGTCACTCCGAACGGTCTCCTCAGTGTGTGTCCAGTATATCTCCGGTTTCGTCGGAATATTTGTTGAGCAAAGAGATCTTAGTTACTTCGTTCCCATAGTTTCGTGTTGCCAATTCTTTATGGCCGTTTGATCTTCAGTAAGGAGCCATAGAAGACAGTTATTGACAAGAGTCTGTAGTAGCCTGTTGAAAATATATTTCGTAATGCTCCAAGTTTTTGACCCATATAGAAGAACTGACTGACTTGAAATTGGTGTTGAAAATCGAAATTCCGTTGTTTGTGCTGAGTGCAGAAGATTTCCGCACTGAAAACAGAGTGATAAAGGTCTCTTTTGCGTTTCCAATCCTGGTTTTGACAGCATCATTTGTTCCCCCTCAAGTTAAAACGATACCCTAAGCTAGGTAAGTGAACGTAGTGACTTGTTTCAAATCTCTCCTATTGACAGTGATTTGTGCATGTTGTTGTTGGTTGGTTATCTTCATCACCTTCATATTCTCGATGTTCATTTGAAGTCCTGTCTTTGTTGCTTCTTACATCAACATGTTTTCCATATATTCTACCCATTCTTCTTTATTAAAAAAGACCGTGTGATGTCACTTAGGATATTGAAGACTGTAAGCACGGTTAGTGATGTGCCTTTGACTCAACTAACTTCCATTGCTACTGACTGAGAGGCATTTTAATTCTTGTAAGCAGTTGGCTAAAGTGTCATCTTGTCTGATATTGAAACCATCCTCTTTCTTCGCAACTTTCTCCTTGAGTCTCTTCAGGTAAAATCAGAAGAAATTTCATAAAAATTTATGCTTGTACTGCTAGTGAATATAAAAATTCAACTATACCATATTTAGTATCATGGGTTTGTGTGAATGGAAAAATGTCAGAAACGAACTTATAAACCTACTTAATAATCTATTGATATAGCGAAAATATTCATTCAGACATCTATAAAACACCAAATAATTGAGCAAAGAATATCCTTTTCGATAATTTCCTCTTCTGGCTCTATAATTATGTATATACATATATATATATATTAAAATATATATATATGCATACAAACATATATATAATTGTAGAGCCAGAAGAGGAAATTATCGAAAAGGATATTCTTTGCTCAATTATTTTGTGTGTTATAGAAATCTGTAGATAAACAGTAAGTTATTATCAAGATTATTGTTACTAATATTATTTTTGTATTAACTCTCAGTTTTTATGGTTTTATTATTTTTCCTATTTTATGTGTTCATTTATCTGTAAACGGAGATAACTGGTTACCGTATATGTACAGAGCTGAAAATTCTATTCTGTATGAAAAATTATTTCTTATAATTAAATTTTTAATATTATTATAAGTTTTTCTAATCAGTATAGAGGACAGAAACTGACAGACATTATCAACATAACATCTGGAGTTGATAAACAGAGTGTGTACATATGCAAGCTGGACTTAAAACAAAGACGAAAAAATAAATACGGCAACAAATCATAAAAATCTAATAGTATAAAACGCTGTAAAAAAAGAAGACGATAATATGTAAGGTAAATGAAAATTATTGTACTAAGACAAAAATTGATATTCAGTGTGAGTAAATCTGTGTCTACGCGACCGTCTTTAAACCACATTATTTAAAATCTTCAATTATAGATTCACGTTGTCACACAAACTAAACTTCGCTACATAACTAGTACTAAAAGCCAACAATTTCACGAATTCATACTATGCCACAGACTTAACACTGCTGACATTCGTTCACATCTAATGTTACATCAACATTTTGGTTTAAACAGTGATAAGATCAGGTTAAAAACACACCCAAAATACCTTAGGCGCCAGAGATTTTACAATTTGAGAAAATGTTAACCATTCAATGGCTGACACTTCACACCTAACCTTTATATTATTTACACAGTGACCTGATGATGTTGAGCAATGCTACGGAAACATAATTGTGGTCAAAAGATTATAGCTTCATCAAGTATTGGTTTGCAGAGATTTGATTCGTTACAGGTTTGTTCATGACTTGACATCAGTTAAAAAACCATTGAAAAACCTGAGAATACTGGAGGGCTGTTCCCTCCCCCTAGCTTGAGACTCTTCAGTCGTACGCAGCCACCGGGATTGAGACCAGTGCCTGAATGGTCTACGAGCTTGCCTTGTAGTCAGAAGGTCCTGAGTTTAAACCCCTGTGGGTGTACACGACTGAAGAGTCTCAAACTAGAGGGGACAGCTCTCCAGTACTCTCAGATTTTTCAGTGGTTCTCTAACTGATGTAAACTCGTGATTAAACCTGTAACTACAACATTATCAAGTGTAATTCTGATGACTATAATTCATAGACAAAGAATACTGTTGTACCGTGCACTTGACACATTATATGCAAATGAATATTTATCCTGTCAACATGAATCAATAAAACAGGTCGTTAAGCCGTATGGCTCATTAAGGTTGAGCGCTTAATTTTCAGTCAACAGGACTATGCATTAATACTTTGTTCTGACGACTTCGATCTGGTATTAGAAATTAAATATCTCCACCAAAAGCCTGTATGGAGTAAATGAGTTACCTTAGACATCTAATCTTACATGCTTTTAATCAAAATAAATTGGAATACTTCGTATGATCATTCATCGACACTTGGCACCAATAAGGCTTCTGATGAAAACTTGAACCAGTAGAATAAGTAAATATCAATTTAAAGTTGAGAAACGAACAAACTGACTGCTAAATAACATACGTAATAAAGAACTGCACAAGTTTATTTTTAGATTCCAATAAGCACGTCAAACTGAAGTTAATGGTTTGTAGAGCACGCAGGATATAAAATCCTTGTAGTTGAATAAGTACTGAAGAGCAACTTCAGTGCCAGTTCAAATGTGTTAATATGGCTGCCTGCCATTAGTAAAAATATCTTCTCACTTAAAAACCACAACTCTTATAAAATGTTGGAAGATTATAAAACTTTTCTGTAGCTGATAAATCACTCACACATATTTATGTATCATTTTATGTCAACTTTCAATAGTCGGTCGGAAAAAAGCAATGTTTGACCTCATTAACTGCAAACAAAAGGAGAGTACTCGACGACAGTAAGTTGCTTGGCCGAAGAAAGAGAGAAAGAGGTAAGCAATCGGCTGTGACACAGTTAAACTAAGTACCATAATCTGAGCATCTCGTAAATCAATCCGCTCTACATATTTCTTCTGATGTCAGCTGTTTAAAAAAGTCTGGTTTTCTTTTCCTGATACGATTAAGAAGACATTGTGTGCACCTAAAGTTTGAATCATTGAAAGCTCAAAACCGACGAATCCTCCTAGGACCAGGGGAAAATTCTATCGTATCCTAACGCATTTATTATTTTAGGTGTACATATGGTCACAAACGCTTATGGAAGACTTACTAGCCTTTGTTTAAACCCACACATTTAGTAGATTAATCTCGGTTTAAAAATTCATTCCGTTTATTTGGTTCTGAATGACAGCAGACTTCAGCACGTATTTTTTTCTTGGTAAACTAAAGTAGAGAAAGGTGATGAAGATACTCGACAGCCAATAACAACAAGCACGAATCACTATCAACGGGAGAAATTCGAAAGAGGTCACTTCTTCCACTTATCTAGGCACTGTCGTTTCAACAACAGGTGGATGGCACAAATGAGGATGACAAAACCAGGATCGGAAAGGCAACACAAGCCTTAATTAATCTGAAATCAGTGTGGAAATCTGCTGCACTCAGCATAAAAAACAAGACTTGGATTTTCAACATTCATTTCAAGTCATTTAGTTCTTCAATACAGTTTAGAGACTTGGCATGTTAGCAAAAGCATTTCGAACACGCTTCAGACTTAAGCCAACAGCTGTCATCACTCCAAATTGAAGATAAGATGACCAGGAACAATAAACAATAAGAAACTCTGACAACGAACCAACCAAAAACCTATTGCCCAACGAATATGCAGAAATAAATAGAGATGGATTGGACATACGCTTAGGATACAGTTGAGTGACATCTCGCGCTGGGCTCTTGAGTGGAATTTTAATAGGAAACGATAAACTGAGCGTCCGAGGATGAGATGGGGAAGATTGTATGAACAAGAGGGGAAATCTTGTAGGAAATAGCGGATCCATTTAAAAAACGACCGCAAAGTATCGAGTGGAATGGACGTGTGTTGTAGAAAGTCCTATTTTACGTACGTAGCACAAGCGAATACTAATAAACTAAACGCTTACTTAGTAACACTAGGTTTTATTTTGATACTTTCAGAATATTCATCACATTTCAACTTGTCAGTCGGATATACTTTCAATCTAGGATTATGATAGATAGATAAGGACCTTTAGTGTTTAACCTTCTTGATAGCTGCAAAAGCCCAAAGAAAGAAAGAGATGGGAAAGTACTTTGATCTATAATTTTGAGCGGTTGAATGAGTAGCTGAGTTACAAGGATGGCAGCTTCGTATCACTGAAGAATCAATGCAAAACTTTTCCACAAACGTGTATCATTCGAAGTTGTCACACTTAGGAAAAGGAACAGAAACAGGAAGAGAGCAAAAGTATTAAGAAGAGAATATAAATATTTCTATCATGTTACATCGTATATCACTCAACAGCAACAACAACGAGAAGCACCAAATACAGCAACTGACTTACCTAAATTTAATTACATTCGGATGATTTAAATATCGTAGATGACGAATATCTGTATCTGATGGTTTATTCACTTTTTTCACAGCAATTAATTCACCACGAAAATAGCCACGGAAAACTACACCTTGTGCACCAGAACCAATCCATACTAAATCGGTCACTGATTCAAATGGTACTTCCCAAGGAAGATCTTATGAATTTTTTCAAAAGAAAAGTGTTATGATGAAATAAAATGAAAAACAACATAAGTGAAGTAAACAACAAAATCAAAAAAATGTCTAGGCAATTTGTTGTGGCAAGAGAAAAAATTTATTTGATAACATTATGCCTGGGTATTGTGTTTTTCTCAACAACTTAGTAATTGGTTGGAGGATTTCATCATGAGCTGACATCAGTTAGAGAACCACTGGAAAACCTGGGAGTACTGGACAGCTGTTTCGTTCTAGTTTGGGTCGCCTCATCAGTACGCATCAACCAGGTTGTGAACCCGGGACCTTCCGGTTACGAGGCGAGCTCCTAGACCACTAAGCTACTGGAATCCCACCCAATAGCCCATGCGTTCTATGAGCTCTTCTTGTGTCCGCAAGCTTCTGGGTTCACACCCCGGTTGGCGCGTACTTCTGAGGCGTCCCAAACTAGAACGAAACAGCTGCGCAGTACTCCCTGGTGGTTTTCCAATGGTTCTCTAACTGATTTCAGCTCATGATGAAATCATGTAACAAAAATGTTTGTGGCTATATCATATTTCAATATCAAGCGATGAAACAAATGATGCGACACATAAAATAATTCATGTAGTGTAAGAAAGGAGTGTAGAATTAATAGGCGATGAAGACATCACGTAACATGGTGAGAAGTTCGACAGGATAGATTTCAACATTGCGAAAAACTTATTGGTTTAAGCTTTGAATGGGGCACGTGAAATAATACATTAAACTGTCCAAAGATAGGATAATAATATCAATTGTGATAATAAGGGAAAGACACATAGACATAATAAACAGAACGAAGAATAAATAAATGTTTACCCCTTTACAGCCAAGGTAGAAATAAGGACTGTATATACTTCTTTTGTCCATAAAGGTTAGCTTTAAATTCACGAACTTCCAAGGCCTCAGCCGTCTTTAGAAGTTTAGAAGGAAGAAAACGCGGTAGGTTAACATGAAGTCGATAAATGCTCTTAAAATCATGGTAAGTGTCGGTAGGGTGACATACGTCGATCAAGTGTTCCACGCCCTTCCTTCCTCCCTTCTGAAACCGTGCTGGAATGTGTTCTCGTATTCATGTGGAAAGCATTCTCTAACTATGGTCAGTGTATCTTGCTCCACAATAGCAAGTGAACTGATAGACGCACATGGAGGCTACCTGGCGAGGGAGCTTATCTTATACAGAGAACAACTTACAGTTGTTGGTCATTTGGAACTCACCTACAAAGAACATCTAACAGAGTGATTTACAAAAACGACTGTTGATCACTTTGATTTCCAAATTCAAGAAGGTAGTTTTCTTTACAAGTGAGTTAGTGACCAGTTTGGATTGCTCATCTTTCACATTTTTGTCAAAAAAAGTCGGTTTGGGTAACTATGGTTATAATCACAAACATTTTATCGCATTTTACATCACTGCTTTCATTTCTTTGTTTAGACTTCTTCATAGAATAAAATTTTTTACAAATCATTATATATATATATATATATATACGACAGCACAGCTTGATAATAAATTCGTTGGAGTCTCTTCGCCAAACACTGTGTTAACAGTGATAAAGCGTAAACAGAAAAGTAGTATGAGAGCAGAAAAAGACAAAAGAAAAATTAAATAATCGATTTTGAATCATTTTACTAACAAGTTTCTTATTATCAATGATGCTTAAAACTACAAGGACTGAAATCACAAACTAACTCGCTAAGGTTGGGTTAGATCATCAATTAACAGCAATTTTTGGATTAATGGAATATTTTTCCAGCATAAAACTTGGTACAGAAGTTCAGCACTTCAAGTTGCCACACTCCACATATCACACAACGGTAGAGAAAGAAGAAAAAAGAGGTTTAAAAGGACCATGATAAGCAAAAATGCAAGGGAGAAAGAAAAACAATAGTAACATGGAAAAACATGAATTTAGTGGATATGGGAGATCACGAAGAGTGAGTGCATCCGCATAACTGAGAACGATTTGGAGCCATATCACCGACATTCTTCAGCTACTAGGATCTTAGAACCCTGGGGATCCTGATATGTAGACCTTATTTTCCACCCGTCCTTTTTACCTATCTGTTCGTAATTCTCTCACCCCACATATTGATTTATAGACCTAATCTTCTCTCAGCCCACTTACGACCTTTGAAATCCTATTGGCAGTTGATTGTTTTAATTTATCAATGTAATTCGTTATTAAGCGACCCATATTTCGTAAGCAGGCATGAAGGGGACAATATCTTCATTTCACCAATTTTTTTCCCATCGAGTATAAACATTCCCTAGTGAAAAATTTGTTTTCAAGCGCTCACAAAATATGCACGAGTGACACATTGATGGATGAGCTTCGGCACACACATTCAGTTTTATTGGTCAATGATTATCCAGAAAACTTCATCAATTGTCATAGTTAGGACAGACCACATCAGGAAAAAACAGCTTCTGTACCAAAGAAAGCTATCCTCATTAACCTACCATTCAAGGGTGATCAAATTAAGCAATTGACAGCTCAAAGACTTCGGCCAGTCATCAAGCTCACATTCTACTCTGCATCTCTTCCCCTTACATCTCGAACATTTTAGATCCCTGTACCTACGATTAAAGGATGGAATTCTGTGGACTCTACTTCATACTATATCCACAAGTTCACCTGCATTTGCGGTGACACTTATACAGGTAGAACCAATAGAATGCACTAATGTCGTTGGAGAGAACATGCTCCTAAATGGTTATTAAGTCACACAGAAAACCCAAATGTACTTAACCCGAATAGAAATTCAGAATCATCCGTGGCAAAGCATTTATTAGTGTCTCGTCAAAAAATCAATATTAATGACTGCTTCACAATTATTTCATCACAACTCTAATTCAACGTTATTAAAGGTGATGGAAGCACTTTGGATTAATCACATACATCCTAAACTGTATACAAAAAACAATAGACTTCAACCCTCGCCTGGTATGGACTACTTGATCTATTAAAATATGATTGGTCATTAGTATGTACTTTTGTTCGATATAACTGAGTAATTGCCAAGCATTTTAATTTATTTTAATATTGTGAACCATGCTAGTTGTAAAGTGATTGTAGAGAAACTACGAAATGATATCATCTCGTGAAATTTGTCTTCCAAATACCTTATTCTAATTTATCAAAGGGACTAATTGTTTTAATTTGTGTTCCTCACGGTCATTTAAAGCATATATATACGCAAGCACTGTCAATCACTTTCATTGTTGATACGAGACAGTAAAAGCTCTCCACTTCAGCGGTCAGCCTTCTCTTTCGGTCTTCTTGTGTCGCATTTTCAGTGGTATCTTATCGCGTTGTTGTTGCTGTTATTGTTGCTAATAGTGGTTAGAACAATAGGTTCACGAAGCGATTAGATAGGAAATCCGTTAGCGCATCTACCAAGTATACTAGCGGTCATATCAGATCACAACCGGGCAGTCTACATCTCTCTACGCGGCTAACTCAAACCAGCAGTCAAAAACCCTGGGTTGAGTTCAGGTTTTCATTTGATCACTCCTAATTCTTTTCCAGCCTAATCCTATGTCCGCTAACAGGGGTCATTGATGAAGGTGGTGGATCGGAGCACGTAACGCGCACCCTAGCCATACGAGTCAGTGTAGCTTTACAACCTCATCGACTGACTTCCCTTTCTGACCTAGCACACTACGCTTAACCTCAATATTAATCACCATATCACACCCCTTAAAATGGGAGATGAAATTCATACTATCTCAAACCAGTTATACGAGATATCGACCTCATCGGTATGGAGCAATCTATTTACTACTGTAACAGGAGAAGACGAGAGAATTTGAGAAAGGAATTTTTTATTTGAAACTCGATACACAGATATGGGCAAAATACGTCTACCACACAGCAGAATCACAATTTGCATTTATCTTCAGGATTGTATTGTCTTATCTTCTGTACTACTCTTTTATATCTTCCTTTCGTGTTATCCATGTTATTTTTCAAGCATCGCTCATTAAATCCACCTCTCCACCACTCGATATTCTTGGCGCTGATATACATATTTACATCTGCATCTATATACCACTTATAAATCTTGTCAGAAGCACATGTCACACTCGTCCACCCGTCAAATGGTTTCAAGAGGAACCACCCAGACCTTAATACTGCCAACCACTATTGTTGTGTTGTTATCGGCTTGCTTAGCCTACTCTATCCATCCCTGGAGTTGACTGGCGTTAACATGTTTCTGTCTGTCTCCTCTTCTGATGGTATAAACAAGACCACGTCTCTCGGTGACAGTGTATGGTCTATCCCATTATGGAAGGAGTTTCCGTGAAAATGACTCGCATTCAATCATGTACCTTCTTTATCTACACTCAACTTGATCTCTGGCTACATAGGTTATATATTTTGTCTTCTTTTCCTGTTTAAATTTCGCAAAGTCCATCGTCTGTTTATACTTTACATTCCTGACTGCTTCTTTCTGTTCCGTTCGCAATTTCGTCATACTCCACTATCAGTGAAGGGAACAGTTCTTGGTGTGTATTGGTAGTCGTGGTTTCTTATCATACGTCAACCGAAACAGTGACTTATTTGTTATTTCCTAGGATGAAGAACGATGTGCTAGTAGAATCAATGGAAGCTCTGTCTCTCACTTCCCTTCGAGGCTAGCCATTCCTTCCGTGTACAGCTATTCCTCTTCGTCAAACCATTCATTTGTGGATGATATGGTGTTGTTCTAATCTTGATACCTACTTGTTGCAAACGGGGTGTAAATTCATCACTTTTAAAACAAGGACCCTGATCTGTGAGTAACGTCTTTGGTACACCATGGTTCGCAACGATGTGTTAAACTCCCACATCAGTCAGTTTTCGCGTGTTGATTTGAGATCGTGACGGTGTCTGCCCGTCGTGTAGCATGTTCCATCATTACCAAGTGGTACTAATTTCCACCGGATGTCTGAGGGAAAGGTCCCATTACATTTAAGGACCAGAAGTCACCTACTGCCGTAACTGGAATCAACTGCAGAGACGGCCGTATGCACCAATCCCCTTTCATCAACTGGCACAACAGACATCTCAGCACATATTTGGCCACATCTCTCATACCTGACTAGTACATGCTTTGCCTCAAGAGGTCAGTTGTTCTGGATACCCCAGTATGTGCTAGCTGGTGCAGTCTTGTATCATCTCATGGCATAGGGACAGAGGCATTACCGCCGACCGGCTTCCATCGTTCTCTCAACAAGTCAAAGTTCTGCAGGCCTTCAATCTTAATTGGCCCTTCGGACTGAGTAACGTGGTTGGCTGTCCAATCACTGTGGGTCGATTCACTTTCATTGCGTTAGTGACCACCTTTATCAGTGTATTCAAGGTAGGGCCTGATCTTTGACTGTGAGCAAGTCTTAATGGATCCTCTTCCAATGCATGTACTCCGTATGCAATTTCTGGGAACTAAGCTTCATCTTCCAGTTTAAACAAAACGTCTGCCAGCAAATTTTTTTCCCTAGGACGTGAGAGCACGTGAATTCGGATTACCACAGGCGCAACATCCACAGGGACAATTCCCCACGCTGATCTCTAGCTATCTTTAGTCACTGTAAGAGGCTTTTGGTCAGTTTCGATATGGGAAAGTTGACCGAGTAAATAAGATTTCCATTTGTCTAACGCCCACACTATTACATATAATGGAGATTTATAGGTCAGGTGAATGATTTTGGTGTAGTTGTGTTCTCTCAGCTGGAATGTTTAGTTGGGAAGCTTTCATTGCTCTACTGAGCAACATCTTCAGCGCATACTTCGATGTGAAGTGAGCTTTTAGAATTCTCTATGAGTTTATTAGTCATCTCTTCTAGTAACCTTGAACGTGATTGGTTGTTTTCGTGTGACATTTCATCCCCTAGTTTGCTTGTCTCGGTGCTGGCTGCTTCTTTGGTCTGAATGTCGTTAATCATTCCTTCTGCTAAGCTTGAACGTGATTGGTTGTTTTTGTGTGACTTCTCACTTTCTAGTTCACTTGTTTTGGTGTTGACTATTTCCTTGACCTGAAGTTTGACTTTGTTTTTGTGTGAATTTCTTCGTATGGATTGGTATATTTTGTCAATCTCTATGTGTCTATTGATTGCTGATTCATTT